AGATTAAGGTACACAAGACCAAATGAAAACCAGTCCGACTGTTACAAGAAAAAAAAAGACATTCCTTCACTGTCCGAAACGCTCCCCGTCAGCAAAGCGAAGGGCGCAACGAAACTGAAAAGAAAGACGAAAAAGGCGCGTTCAACATTCCAGGGACACGGGAGGGGAGAAGCGGATGGAGCTCGAACGTTTTCGGGGAAAAGGGGGCTAGAAGGAGGCACAATAGCAGCTGTACGCGGTGAGAAAAGAAGAGGGAATCCAGAAACTTGTCGGGTGAACGCGACGAGGAGGAGAAGGAGAGTGCTTCTGAGAAGAACACAACTCGGCAGCCCACCCCGACGTCCCAGGCTGAGAAAGGCTTCACTCCTCTAACCTCATCTTCTCTAGCCTCTTTTCCCCTCACCTTCCCCATTCTCCTAAAGACGGTGAACCACGTCGTGGCCTCCGATTACTATTCGTGAGCTGCAGGAATAGCGTCTTCCATGGACTTTCGAGTCCCCCCCCCCCCCCATCCCACCAATCTCCCTGGCTACCCCTTCTCCGGCGAGAAGACCCGGAGACGGTGGAGTAAAAAAAAAACTTTTGCGGTACCTCTGTCGACGGCTAGTCTTTATCTTTTCTTTTATACACCCAGTAACCATCAGCGGTCTATGAAGGCCAGACGGTGCCCGGTGCCCGATGCCCCCTGGCGAGCAGTCCTGCGCACTGTATCCCGCTATGCCACTTGGACAGAAATTTCCACTGCCAAGCTATATGTGACGAAAACGTCTTTTTTTTAAATTTATTAGGGCGAAAGGCGTATCGTTGCGCGGTGACTTTGAGCGAAATACGGCAGGCGAACAAAGTGGTAATGAAACCCATGTGGCCATACAGCGAGTGGCCTGTGGAAAGAGGGCCACCTCCTTATTTATTATTTTTTAATGCAAAGCAATTCTTAGCGAACTTTGGCGAGTGTGAGCATATCTGTCTATCTATCTAGCCGCCTACGACATTTAGCTCTCTGGCCGTTTCGATAAAGGTATCGATACCAATATAGGTATGGCATAGTATGACGAGCATAAGTGGCTAGTCATAGCATGAAAATCATGACATGTCGTGAATTTCGTGATTTACATTTCATGGTCTTGCTGCTCTTTCGGTTGTTTCGTTCACATGACATATTGCAAAACTGGTATGACATGACTGCATTACATAGATAAGTGACAGACCCCAACGTGTAAATCACGACACCCATGCCATGTAAGTCATTACTATAACACCACGCTCGCGGTCGTTTCGCTAGCTTCACATATACCGAATGTGGTGTTACGTGACGTCAATGGAAGACGAAGGTATATGGCCTGTGCAAGCATGAGAATCATGACATACTTGTCATGTAAGAACATGAAAACATACCACGCTCACGATGCGCTCTCGGCCGTTTCGCTAGCTTCACACGTACGAATTTGGTATTACGTGACGTGAATGGACGACGAAGGTAAACGACTTGTCCGAACATGATAATCATGTAAATCATGACTACATGCTACACTCATAGCGCGCTCGCGGCCCTTCCGCTAGCTCCACATGTACCAAATTTGGCATCACGTGACGTGAACAGACGACGAAGGTAAATGACACGTCCAAACATTACAATCAAGGCATGCATGTCATGTAAAACATGACTACATGCTACACTGGCAGCATACTCGCGGCCGTTTCGCTAGCTCCGCATACACCAAATCTGGTATCACGTGACGTGAATAGACGACGAAGGTAAATGACGCATCCAAACATTATAATCATGACATGTGTGTCATGTAAAACATGACTACATGCTACGCTCATAGCGTGCTCGCGGTCGCTTTACTAGCTCCATATATACCAAATTTGGCATCACGTGACGTGAATAGACGACGAACGTAAATAACACATCCAAACATTAAAACCATAAAACCATGACATGAAAGTCATGTACGGCATAATTTACGTAAAAAAGCAAGAACAAATCAACATTCATGAACAGGCTTCCAAAAATTCTTGAAGTGCTAGAGAATGAACATTTCCGGGTAGCATATTACAGGCTTCTATAGTTGAAGGGAAAAAAGCTGTATTTGAACATGCCAAGCAGGTGAAAAAGTTGCAATGTTAAGGGCATGGTCACTCCTCGTAAACCGCAATAAGCGGCATCATCATGGCGTGACTGAGACTAATCCTAAGGGGCGCCAAGCGAGCGACGTAATAGGAAAGGCGAATCATTTAAGGGGGGGGGGGGGGCGTCAACCGAGTGATGTCATGAGGAAGGATAGTCACTAAAGGGGGCGCCAATCGCGTGACGTCATGGGGGAGGCTAATCATTTAAGGGGGGCGCCAAGTTTGGCCTTCACTCATCCGTACCTGTGCAGTAATTGTTCTAAGAGCAGGGTTATGTACCGTCGAAAAGCCTAGAGACCTTAGGAAGGTCGTTGCGGAAAGAATATGATCGCTTATTTTTTTTTAAAGTTTGCATCCGTATACATAAATCGTGCGCAGGCTTCCCCATCTGAGGGGGAGGGGCGAAAGTTTGTGGCAGCGCTAACCCACACTGTTACGCCAGGCTACTTTCGCTCTCCCCCCCCCCCCCCCCTACGTGCACACGCCTATGCCCATAGCAAAGCTCGTTTCCTTTCAGACTTGAACAACTTGAGGTCGAACTTAGGGAGGGGCTTGTGGCGAACTAGTATTGCAGGTACCAGCCGGTTTTGAGACGCTGCGTGAAATCATGCGCGACCGCGCTGAGTAAGAAACGGTCACATCGAATTAGTGCCGGTTCCCCCTACAGTTTAGTGTGTCCCCCTTTGGCGCGGCTGCCGAACAGAAGCGGGCAGAGCACAAAAGAACGCGGCGACAGAACGACTCCCCTGCACCAGCACTGTCAGATAAAACGTCACGGTGGCGGCCATCTGCAGGTAACCCAGGGCCGTGCCCAGGGCAGATAACCTGTCTGTGACGTCACGTGCAAGTTAGATTTCATCGAAGGCATTATGCGGCATTATTAAGGCATTATGTGAACTTTAAAAAAAACAACTATTTTTTTATTTGTTGAGCCTGGTTGCACACTTGTCGCCGCTCACAATCCATCTAGGGGCGAGGGGGAAGGCGATCACAGCCCCACCCCCCAATCATCGCTTGCCATCCACCGCTTAACACTCATTAGTGCAGGTGAGTGGAAACACTAAGCATTAATTAACAGCATTTCTGTAGCGATAGAGTGGTTGGGTTGGTTGATAGTAACTACCAAAAATAAATATCAAGACCTCACCCCCCCCCTCTCCGTCAAGTGAGTGGCTGGAACCACCCCAGGTGTCGCCCCGCTACACAAGGCCGGCACAGTGCCGGAGTTGTGATGCGCCTCCTAACTACGGGTATATTATTTAGTTCTCATTAGGCTAGGACACAAATAGCGAGTCAGCGGTGCAACGGACAATTGGCCACATATAGCACCGGCTGGTGCCACTCTACGCAGAAGTGAAAGGCACTGTCCATTTTGTGTATGTGCAGACATGCCACGCACACACAGGTGATTGCACAACTCCAACCCGCCTCTTGAAATAATACTCTGTTCACGTCTCTGTGCCATCGTCACAATTCTGCAGGACCAGGAGGTTCGCACCTGGCAATCAATCGTGATTAGCTGTCTACAATGTCACATCGCAGGACCGCGCTTTTGTTTTTCCTTTTCCCGTATCGCACAGCTAAACAGTACAGACACCCGTTTTATCATTTGAGCACGTACAAATCAAAGAGAGTGGACACTTGGCAAGTAGAAAGTCGGGCAAGGCATCTGCCGTAGGTCCCAACCTTGGAATAAAAATATAAACTCCGCCCACCGTCATCCGACACAACAATAAGTTGCATAGATCTTTCTTTCATCTAGGTTCGTTCATTTTCGTGAAGCTGAGCGGTTTTGTCTGTTACGTACTGTTATAGTTGAGTTTGCTATACGAATACACGATTGTGCCGCTAGATTTACAATTAAAAAAAAAAGAACTTATAACGTCCAGACAAATTTTAAAGCGGTAGCGAGAGTGGGAAGGCGCCTCGCGGTTATTCGAGATGAGCTCCAGTTGAAACAGGCTATAAATATTAGGGAGTTTTAGAATAACGTTTGCCCCTCATAGGGTACAATCTAGAGACTTTAGCTGTTCCGCAAACTCAAATGCACGGAAACTACACATAACCAGCGTTTGCGGGCCGCATGCTGACCGCACACGCCACCCGCTATTTCGGATTTCCTGCGGTCGGGCCGCAAACAACGAACGGCGGCTTGCGTACGACGCATGTGTAATGGTAGCGACCACACCGCAAGGGCTCGCGGTGCACTATTCTAAAACTCTCTATTAATGGTAACTATATGCGCTAAAATGGAAACGAAGAAAGAGCACGGTTGAGTGGCGTAGCAGCGTACAAGTAATCCGAAACAGGAGGCACAGGAGAGCGCCAAAACATGCGCCGGCGGTAGCAAAGATGACAATCGCGCCGCGTACTCCCCACAAACGGCGCACGTGCCGCTTTCAAAAAACATCGAAATTACCGCCGCCGTTTCGCACGCCTCTCGTGCTCATTCGAACGATACCACGCCTCGTCACTTCGCTCGGCGGCGCTCGATCATTCCGTTTTCCAATATGCGAACAACACATCAACATCGGTAGGCGCGAAAATGCCGATGCAAGTCGTTACGGAGCACCGGCCGCTGTCAGCCGGTGCAGTGCCCGCGCTGCAAATAATCAGCCTTAATGTGACCAGTTCGTCCGCTGAAGAAAACGTGAAACGGCGGCCTACCGGCAAAGGAGCCAGCATGGAATAAATCCAAGTCTGCTTTAGCATGTTGTGTTCATCGAATCGAGCGAGCATCTCTAGCGACGATGCTCACTTGAAAAAAGCCGTTACATTCCTTCACCCGGTCACCTCCAGCATGCTGAATAAAGGCGTCTTGCGGTAATTAATAAAACAAAAAAAAGCGATGGAAAAGACCTACTCACCGGTGGGATCTGTCGGGATGCATAGCTTACAGGCGGTGTGCAGACAGGGCAGTAGCTGTGGCTCACTAGTTTCCGAAACGTCCTGCTTGCAAAACACACACTTCGTGTCAAGTCCGGCGTCTTCAGCAGGATTGCCCGTCACCTGTTCGGTGGTGGTCTGTGCGCCGTCGTGTGTCTCCATCTTGGCATCGGTTCTCACAGTTCAAACAAGAACGCACTTATTATCGAAAACAATTCACAGGGAACGTCAGTCACGCCAGGAAAAACATCACCGGACGCATTCGCTTCGCACAGCCATCAAAGCAGACCGAAGCGGCAGAGCACCAAGCCTAGCGCCACAACGAGGGATGTTGCGCCATCTGGATTTTCTGAAAGGCAAGAAGTGAAGCGCGGGTGCCCTGAACCTATCAGGAAGTTCATGCTGCATCAGGCGGCCTCTGATTGGTCCGGCCTTGATGTACTGATGACACGCCAGCCAATCGGCGGTTGCAGTGTGTAGAACAAATTATTTATTTCTGCACGCTCGCTCACCATTCTTCTTTTTTCTTTCTTCTCAGCCCCACGCGCGACGTTTGTGTGTTCTCTCCTAGTTCCCAAAAATATGGGGGATATGTGCTGATATGGGCTCAGAAAACCGTGCGGTGCTGTTAGATTCAACCGCAAGGACTGCAAACAACGGTTGTCCTTTATGACGTATGAGCTGTCCTTTCGTCGAATGAACAAAGGAGAAAAAAAAACAATTAATGAAAGATGACCTGCTGTCATTTTATACAAAAGAAACCGACAAAACAAATTGAAAATGCGAGAATGAACAGAACAAATGACACTACGAGTTAGGTTGCTTCAGGAATGAAGTTTTCTGACACGCACATTCAATCTTGTCCGGTGTTTTTCTTCTTTTTTTTGCATTAATTAGTTGGCTGTGGCAGCAGTTGAATAATACCGTCAATACATTTCAGGTATTCTGTGACGGTTTCGTACGAAGGTCTGTACTGGCGGTACTTTATTGATAGCCTGGCAACAATGAAAATACGTTTCTCCCGCAAATCTTGGACGCGCAAGTGGTGCGCTTGAGCGTTTGCTCAAAGGTTGTTGTTTCATGAATTAGGGTCTTCTATGATCGGGGGCCCATTAATCGACGTGCAGTTTCAGAAAACTGCACCTTAGCCGGAGTGTATGATTGTCGAGCGGTCCAGCGTATCGCCTATGCACAAGTGAGACGTTTACCGTTTCTCGTTCTTTCGGTGGTAGCCGTGTTGTAGGTTGGTAAAGCAATAATACAGCGTAAAAGCTGAGAAGGTGGCGTAGCCACAGCATATAACAATAAACGCAAGTGTCTCATTCCGTCTCCTGCCCTGCTTTTGCTTCCTTCAGTAAAAAAAAACCAAAAAAAAAACAGCCCCTTTCAAGAGCGTGTCTAAATTCGCACGACGGTAGTACGTTTACAGTACCATTGCAGTTTAGGCCAATCGCGACGAAAATTTTTCAACAGCGCTTAGCTCCCTGCTGCAGCTCAAGTAAAAAAGCCAATCAAGATCAAGAAATCCTATCTGGATCAGGCCAGATCGTGGTCGTATGTGACACCCGGGTTACGCGTTTGCTTTCTATCGTTCTTGATCCGAATCAAAATTGTGCACCAGTTTCACAAGTTGCGGAGATCGCGGCTCAGTGGGTACGCTACTTGGTTACGGACCCGAAATATGCGAGTTCAATTGTGGCCGCGTTTTGATGGCAGCAGAATGCTACAAGCCCGTGTATTGTGCGATGCCAGTCAAAATTATCCGGAGCCCTCGGCTATGGCGACACCCACAGCCTAATGAGTTGCTTTGACGCATTAATTAGACCTCATAATCGGACCAACCAACATATGTATTGTCATGCTGCGTATTACAGCTCCATGTGCCGCACCGGTGAAGCTGTTTCCCACTTTCATGCGAACACTGAACTGTAACTGTCCATCGGGTTTGATAATTTAACTCAATGTTGATCAATATCCACAGGAACTTTGTTAGCTTCTGGTTGGAATTCCACCATGCTTCAGCTCAAAATTCCTCCATTTTGAGCCAAGCGGGAGTATTTCCAGCTCAAACTTTTTCCATACCAACCTCTCTATCTCACTAGCTTCTTCCTACTCTCTCTCTGGGTGCCCTCCTTTGTGCACGTGTTTTCCCTTCCCCTCCTCCATTTTCCAGGTTCAGGGAGAGAATCCCGGCTGCGGCGGCTGCATTTCCGATGGAGGCGGAAATGTTGTAGGCCCGTGTGCTCAGATTTGGGTGCACGTTAAAGAACCCCAGGTGGTCTAAATTTCCGGAGCCCTCCACTACGGCGTCTCTCATAATCATATAGTGGTTTTGGGATGTTAAACCCCACATATCAATCAATCAATCAGGTTCAGGGAGAGAAAGCAAAGCATACACGAGTATACATGACCAATGTTGATGTTCGACCTTGTTGTCATGAGCGCATTGTTATAATGCAATACAAGCGCATTATCATAGTGCTTGTGTTGTGGTTTTTCTATGTCCCTGTCCTTCAGGTGCTTTATCATTATTAAATAATTATGCTTCTATTGAAGGCGAATTGCTACCTTGATGTAGACTAGTCCTACTTGTCGAAACAATGGCTCTAGTGACGTCCACTCTTCAACGAATTGCCATGAGATGACATCTTGTAGCACTCAAAGACAATTAAGATGCACAGCAAGTGGGTCTACATAATGCAGTGTGGTTCAGCTGCTGACAAGTTCACAGCGATGGCAGACTAGAACACCTATCAAATGCATCCAACAGTTGATGTAATGAATGGCAGCACTGCCTATTTATCCATGATGTTACAACTAGCCCGAAGCTATTCTTAGTTTACATTCATAGGCTTAATTTGCATGTCATAGGCTATGCAAAATTGAAGACAAAGCCATCAACGATCTTCATTATGTCGGCATTATGCAAGTGTGCGTTATGCTATCATTTCTGCTAAAACACTTACATATGGCAGATTACAAAATAAACCAAACTTCCACCCTCCCAAGTGGTGTCTCACCACCTGTGCTTTTCAATCCACTGTATAGGAGGTGATGGCATCCTTCCGTCAGGTGAATGAGCGACATGTGTCGGCTGAAGTGGAGCTTATGCTGTGGTCACCTCGACTGGATCTCATTGCTCTCGCACTAAAGCAAGGTGATGTGGCACTGCACCGACTCTCATGGAAGCGTGTCTGGCTACGTACACCTCCTGATGGCAAGGAGCGTGATGTCGCTGTGTGGAGTCTGGCTTGGAGGCCTGATGGCAAGATACTTGCCATTGGCTATAGCACAGGTGAGCTTCCATGTAGGCAAAGCAGGCACTAACTGTGGACGTTCCCACAGCTTCCTCTCTGCATTTTTAATTTCCATTACAATATGTACAAATAAGAAAAAAAAACTATAAAAAGTGCGGTCACTCAGAGTGACCTATGCATTACATATTACAGACATGCATGAACCCAGGAGGTGCTGTCTAATGCTGGGAGGACATGTGAACATTACTGCAATCAGATTTTGCGACCTAAAGGGGCACAGACATGAAAATTTTCAGTTGTAATTTTTTTTTGTGTGTCGAATAGAAGGCGAAGCCCACAAGAGCCCAGCAAATGTACTGATAAGCATAAGTGCTTGGTGAAAAAATGAATTACAATTTGTTTTCAAATGCTAGCTTCAATTTCTATTGTGCCATTACATCGCAGCGCAGTATAAGCCTCTCGTATAGTGCTCGCGTAAGATATTGTGACATTTCCACGGTCGCTCCATTCCTGGATTCGTTTGTGAAGCGCAAGCAGCCGTTATGAACAATTTTATTGGGACACGTCAGGTGTATGCGGGGTAAAGAAATACAACCGCATAGTGTGAATCCCAACTCTCAACAGACTTCCTCATTTGTTATTCTTCACTCTCTTTGCCCTTCCCGTCTCGACATGGTGAGGTAGCTGAGAATGTGATAGTAGAACTGATTAGGGTAAGAAAACTGCCACTTGTTTGCCTGGCCTTTTGTGGCTTTGTGGCTCCCCTCTTGGTGACTTGCCAAAATAAGTTGAAGGTCCAAGCAAGTAGGCACTCTTCATAGCTGTTTGCTGTGCATAAGCTAAGTGGGCACCTCGTTAGCTTCGGCTGGCGTTGAAGCTAGGATTTCTGGAGAGGATTCCTTTGGCAAAGGACACTACTGCATCTTCACTGCCCGTGTGGGCTGGCTCTATCCAGTGACACAACCTCCTCATGACCGCATCTACTGGTGAAATTTTCGTCCCCGCAGCAGAGGCATATCATAGGATGACTAAAGATGTTGCCGCACAGCTTCATGTCATCATGTTGTACACACATGTGGGCGCAATGTGAGCTGCAGGTCGACATGCACCACACATGAACCTGGAAGCTGTGGAAGTATCTAGCAAGGTTTGCTCCTGACATTGTGTAGGCACAGTGCATAGTTACTGCAAGCTATGGATGCCTCCTATACTCTGTGAGTAAAGAACTTTCCGGACATCCTAAGTGTCGTGCCATAGATCAACCCAGCAGCCCTGCAACCAATGTTCTCTTTTTAAAGTGGACCTTACACTCAAGAGGATAAGGAGGGCCTCCACGCGGTTGTGTTTCTCGGTTGCTCTAAGTTTGGCTTTTAGCTGATGGTGAAAATGCTCCACGATGTCATTGCTCGTGGGTTAGTACGTCATCGTTTGTATGCGGGAGGTTCCTATGAGCTGACTGGTAGCAGCGAAAAGTGCAGATTCGAATTGTCGGCTACAGTTCATTGCTATTGTAGAGGACACCCTGAAGCGAGTTACCTATTGGTGCAGGAAAGCCTTTGCAATCATTTCGGCACTGATGCCTGAGATAGAAATGGCCTCTGCCCAGCAGGTGAATCGGTCCATGCAAGTCAACAGGTATGTCTGTTCATAGCAAGGTGGCAGTGGGCCGATGACGTCCTCGCGAAGATAATCTCCAAGAACAAACATCAAGCCCACATGTGTACAGGTGGGCCGCTGGTGGCTATATAGTGACATACCTCATGCTGCATCGCAGAGACAACTGACAGGTGCCTCATCTGTTTGTGCAGAATGCGAGCAAAACTGTCTGTGATGGACAGTCCAAAAGAAAATGGCAGTCCCATGTCGCAGTCGCCTGCAACATGGAATTGTTAAAGCGCCTGTTGCAAACATCAGTGAAAAGGCCAAAGTGTAGAAAAATGTCCACAACCAAAAAGGCGAACTTCACCCAAAACGAAAATCTTGGTACAAAGTGGATTTATTCTGTTAAAGCTAATCGGGCTAAAGCTGGACAGAGTGCAGAGATTTGCACGTCAACAGTGCAGCTCTAGAGTCTGACCCACAACAACTTTATCGTCGAACTCGATTGGATGTCATTTCAGCATCTGTGCCAAAGTGACATTTCTCAAAGCACTGATAATGTTAATATTGCCATTATAGGGTTGTTAGTAGAGGAGAAAATTGGGTCAAAGTTTTTTCTTCTTTAATTTTGCCCCAAAATTGCTGTACGTGACCTGGATTTCAAAGTGTATTTTCGTATTTTGGTGACATTGACTCAATGACATCCTGAAACTTGGCATGTCTATGGCCCCCTCAGTGTAGAGGGTGCGTGTGTGCCAAGTGGCTATGTAGCTCTAGCCGAGTCGGTTATGAAATGCTCTCCAAGACATAAGATAAAAGTAGGTAACGTGGTTGCTTGGGCGAGTTGGTACGACATGATTCACATAAAGAACAGTGCCAATAACGAGGGACAAGAAAAGAAGGAGATGCTGTCTGTGTCGTCTGTCTCCTTCTTTTCTTGTCCCTCGTTATTGGCGCTGTTTTTTATGTGAATAAGATAAAAGGGGTGTGTTCGAAATAAACTGGGACACTTCTCTGCTGGGAACTCAGAGCGTGCATCCTAGGGTCAAATCCTCCCGGTACACTCAGAGGACAGTGTACTTCATTTTTGCTGATTAAAAACTATGCAAGACCTAGTAGACGCCACCAAAGTCTACGATGTTACGACGTGTGGTGCGGAGATTACTATGTGGCCTCGCCACCTTCAGTTTTTTTGCACATTTTCTCGCTTACCAAGGATCTAGTTGCAGTATGATGATGATGGTAGATTTTAATGGCCCAAGGACAATTCGGGCATCTAATTGCAGTAACCGTAATGATTTTGAAATTGTGGAAGAATAATTCACTCGTGTAAGAAAAATCGTTTCATTAAAGGGCCCCTAAACCCCATAAGTTGAAATTTAGTAGTGAGGTTGCAGCAGTGCACGAGTCTTCAGAGTCGTGAGAATTTTTCGAAACTGACCCATAGTAACGGAGTTACATCCGTTTGATGATCCGAAAAAGGCTCTTACTAGTTTCGCTTTTTCCTTAGTTCATTGCCTTATTTTTCCTCCTGATTGAGTGCTCTTTTTCTTCATGTGAGGAGCCCCGCCTGGGTGGTCTAGTGGCTAAGGCACTCGGCTGCTGATCCACAAGTCGCGGGATCAAATCCCGGCTGCGGCGGCTGCGTTTTCGATGGAGACCAAAATGCTGAGGCCCGTGTGCTCATATTGGGGTGCACGTTAAAGAACACCAGGCAGTCGAAATTTCCGGAGCCTTCCACTACGGTGTCTCTCATGATCATATGCTGGTTTTGGGATGGTCAACCCCACATATCAATCAATCTCCATGTGAGGAGGAAGAGTGGCGAGCGACAAACAGTATTGTGGATGGTGAAAAGACTGCATGTTGATTTCACAGAGAGCACACAAAGAATGAGGATTGCTAAAATGCAGATAAAGGAGAACGGATTGTTTCTTGAAGTTCATGAAACACCTGCGGCTCGTACTGCTGCCACGTCTGGTATTGTTGATCATGGCCACATCCTGAACTGAATGCGTGCGCATACTTTAAGTACTAAAGAAATACTATCAGAGGTAGTTCGGGGCCCTTGAAATGCCTTCAATTCCCCTCCACAGCTTTTTGAGAAGACAGACTGATTCCAATTCCCGTGCCAACATTGTTCGTGAGGGCATAAAGCCCGTGGCCAGAGAAAGACGTTCCCCGAATTTGTTCCTGCATTCAGTCCTCGGTTAAACGGTTCTTCCATAGCCTTAAAAAGGTGCACCAAGTCCTTTTACCATGGGAATGGAGGCTTTTTTGCATTGGTGTGGCAGCATGCTTTACTCTAAGCCGTGACGGTTGACTGCTCGCACCGGTATTGAGAAAAAGTTCCCCAAGCCTGGCCCTCCCCAGAGTAGACTTTAGACGGTTTCGTAAATGTGAAAAAACGCTGCATTTCTTCACAGTTCCCCCATGCACATGAGAAACTACCTGTCAAGCAGTTACTGTTTTGCCAGAGCAAGAAAATTTCGGTTATTGTAGTGAACCATTTCACCATAAGAAAAGCTTGTACAGCTGTCGGTCCTGGTTCTCCCAACCAACTTGTAAGACAAAAGAAATATGGAGTCAATGTAAAGAAGGCACAATACAGCTTGCTATTCTGTATGGGATAATGTGAGACTGCTGAAACTCTGGTTGGTACTTGTTCTTTCAGACTGCCTATTTGCCTGTAAAATGTGCATACTTGGGAGACCTGTCAAGCGTGCCTGTATATTCTAGCAATAAAGTCCATCTGCGCATGCCTGCTCTGTTCGTTCTATGGCAACTAATAGTTCTATGGATATTGAATTCTAAAACTGTGGCAGCCCTTTTTTAAAATATAAGGTGCATTTGCATCAGAAGTTGAACTTCATGTGCTTTATCTGTACTGTTGTTGTTATCTGTGCTGGTGTCTCTTATAAATAAGAGACATCGATGTAAGAGATACCAGTGTGCCTACACTGAAACAAGGTTCAAATTGGAAGTGAGAAGATGGTAAAAGACACCTCATATAAGAAAATATGTGTCGTTTTTTCTTATATGCTAAAGCGCTTCGTTTTGATACAGGAATACTAAAACGTTGCAGTCATCGCAAGAAGTGAGGCTGTTTATTTACGAACACAAACACATTATATTTACAAGGCACAAGGACAAAACAGGTAGCATAAGAACAAAGAAAACAAATAATACGACGTAATAAAGGGTGACAAATTTTCAAGAAAAGAGTTTGACCATAGTGGTGATGAAGGTGATGGCATATGGTGGGCAGACGTACAAAAGGTGATAGTAGACGCTATGCCATACGCCAGACCCTGTGGAGGGCAGTTGCTAGACGTACTTTAGGTGTTTGCTAGCAAAAGGTTGGTTGTCCTCGTGGAGTCGCTGGTGAGCTTGAATTGCGCGTCTTTGCAACGATCCCAAAGTGCCAGGCACTGGGAAGAAGCTTGAAGCGGTGCCAGGAGGCAGCCTGCTGCTAACCTTCGTCCAAGTACCCGGCTGGCCTAATGTTGCGCCCAGGGCCCTGTCTTTTTCCAGCCGCGTCTGCGCTGCCTCTCCGTTCTTTCTGGAGCCTTCTTTTTTAAACCATCATAGATGGTGCTCATTGGTTGAGTGTCCCTTGCATCACATACAGAAGATGCGGAGTGCCATCACAACTTGTGCACATCATCACGCTTATAAAGGGGCTCAACTGTATTAAATCCTGTTTGGTCTTGGCCGTAGGGTTTAACCATTGCCTTCAGAGTGGACACAGCCAACCTGCACACCTTATCGCTATGATATGTTTGTTTTCTTGGCATGCTGCCCATACTGACAAATCGCCTTATTATGGTGTCTTCATCTGCCTCAGGAATTGTTGTGTCACTCTCAACATAGCATTATACAGCAGCATGTTTGAATTCCAGTAAATTTATATGTTGCATCTGTTTGGTATTGTCCACTGTGGCAAGCTATGAGCAGTGTCCACTGCTATAGTTTGCTGATCTTTCGTATACTACATATGTTGCTTGGATATTGCATAAACGCGAATTAAAACTGTGCAGTGCAAAATTGTTACATAATCTAACATCAGATTGTGTGCTGGCATATATGTTTTATTCTGTTCTTTTCAAGCTGCTTCTTTATTCTATTAATGTACAGACAACTCCATGCTGAAAGTTATGAGTGCAGCTCACAAACTTACACTGATGTTTTAGAAGTGTCCCAGTCACATGTTGAAAAAGTTTACAGAGGCTGTTGAAGTACTATTATGTGTCAGTATTGCTTTCTTTGTAGCTTTGTTTCTAAAGCATATATTATTCTTTATAATAACTCTCTTGCTGTTCCTTTTCTGGTTTTTATTGTCAGTTGTAGTAGCATTAGTATTAGTGTCGTAATTTTATTTTTTAGAGGCATAATATAGAAACTGTAGTGCTGCGACTGCCTTCAAACCAAGAAGACTCGGAAAAATCTAATGCATTTTAATTTCTTTATTGCAGGGACCATCATTCTCTGCAATGTGGAGAATTCAGACATAGTGCACACGCTAGTTCTATCTGTCGGGGTTACGTGCCTCTGCTGGTCAAGTGATGGCACCACAGCAGAAGACTCCGAACTGCAGTCACGCTTACTGTTCCGCGATTTCTCCTCTGCATACCTGCCAAAGTTACCAAAGCTCAACAAGAGCTATGGCTGCACATCATCAATGAAGTTAATTGAAGAGAATGCGGATGACTGCAAGATGCTCAAGGAACAGGAAGACTTCAACATTCTTGTTGTAGGCCTAGCCAATGGTAGTGTTTCCCTGTATGCATATGGTGTGCTCCTCTGCCTTGACTTTGAAGTGACACTCGGAGACTGTACTGGGGAGCATGCAAAGAGGTGGTGTCTGCATGGCTGTCAGACACTTTCAGCAAGCTTACTGTCACCATTGAGAGTGAGAGAGATGGCGCCGGCAAGTTCATGTGCCTGCACGTGTACAACATGCCACTGTTGCGAGACAAATGGGGAGAGCTTCGTCTAGTGGCCCTAAAATATGGACAAGTGGCCTCACTGGCAACATACCTAACCAGTACTATAAGCTCCATTAAGGAAACCTGGGAGGACATTCTCCTTGAAGTGGACTCAAAACTTGCCAACTATGCCCAGGAAAAGCGGCGTACGTCCAGTGGCACTGTCAGTGACGATTTTCTTGAACTGCTCATGTTTGGCACACCATCTGATGCACTCGAGAAGTTCCTGGTGCATGACCTCACGGAGAAGGGCCTGAAGAAACTGGGCCACTCCATTGAGCTCTGCTACTCTAATGTTCAGAAGTATGTTTTGAAACAGCTGCAGGGTGTTACGCAGGCCATCTACTTTCATCTGGCCGACCTTCAGGGCATGGCTCGGTGGGAGGACAGGTTTGGAGCTCTGGGACTGCGCAGCGAAGCTGTTACCAATGCCCTTGGATGCACAGGTTCCTTTCTTCTCAAGGTGGCAGAGTTGCTGCAGGTAATTGAAGTGAGCATCCGCAACTTTAAAGCTTTCTTCCGCTGGCTGTATGTGGTCATCCTGCGGCTCTCAGATGACACTGTTCCACCTGAGGTGACCCGCATCTCACAACAAGAGATTGTATTTGTTGCGGAGTTCCTCAAGGAAAACTTTGCAGTGGAGTGGAGCGAGGAGAATAGGTTGTCGTTTAGCCTGGAAAGAGTTGGTCAGTACCTCAAGATGATCCGTTGGTTTTCCCACTGCCCGCACACCTGAATGCCTGGCTTAAATTTCTGGAGCAGAACCCAGCCGTGCTGAAGTTGGTCATCCCCCACAACTCCAAGAGCTCACTCGTTCAAGAGCACAAACATCTTGAGCAGGCAGCTGCAATGCATTTGTGGGTATCACGGATGCCCTTAGACCTTGTGTTTCAATGGAGTCGCGCATCATGCTTGCTGCTATGGTGCACCCTGAAAGGCTCTCTGCTCTGTCACATGTGACTTCAAGCAAAGATGACTGCATCTACACCTCGTTCGTACCATGCCGCACTACGGGACAGGACCTCTACTTGGTCAAACACGCGACAGCAACTGGAAACTTTCTCGTGGCCCGGCTTTACTTCCACAAATTTCGACACATTGCAGATGAAGGCGATGCAACGTGCTATGTCGTCCTTGATGCTCAATTCTATAATGAAGAGGTTTTGTCAGTTTTGTTGTGCAGGGAAGGAGAACACACAGACTCTAATGTTCCTTTGCTTGTTCAACTGGGCCTCAAGCATGTACAGAACTTCTTCATACCTTTGCAAAGATATGCATCCCATCATGTGGCACTTTCCGACATGGGTATCCAGGCCATCGATGCCGCAAGTTGTCTAGAAAAAATGGACTTCCGAAGGCTAGAGAAAATGCGTGCTGCTTTTTTTGCTGTTAGCGGCTGCACGGAACTGTTGTGTGTGTGCTGTTTCATTCTCGTAGGCGTGTGCGAACTTTTGAGATGGACGTGGAGGAGGAGGACGATGAAACTGGTGACGAAGATGAAGAGGATAAAGATGCAAAATTTACTGCCGAGAAAAGTATCACGGACTTTCAGGACGATGACAAAGAAAATAGTTTCTGAAGTAAACCTTTGTGTAAATCGCTTGCTGAAGTTTCATCATAAGTTGTGCTGGCGTGCTGGCGTGTCCAGCCAGTCTGGCATGATTGTAAACAGTCAAACCTCTATAGAAAATTGAAAGCTTCATGGTAAGAACTTTCATTCACTTTAGCATAACACAAGATGGCATGAAGATCTTTAGCTTTAGAGCTGCCACCAGGAAGAGAATAAGTATGTTGCTTTAATTAGAATTCCTTCAGCATGGGAACTCTTGTAGAGTTGTTTTGCCTTACTGTGTATCTGCTCTTCGACTTAAAGTCTTGATGTGCAATCATCCAGATGAGCTGGTTTGTAATGAAAACTACTCTGAAAATGAATTTATTCTATCTTCTTTACCTTAAAGGGGCCCTGCAACATTTTTCATCGTGGTAAAAAAATGCTGAACATGCAAGCCAAACATAATAGCATAGGCTGCATAGTCATTGTAACCGCCAGAAAAGGCCACCATATGCTTGCACACATACTCGTGATCTCACTGGAGCTGTGCTGTGCATTAAATAAAAAGAAAAATGGTCAAACTAATGTCGCACGTGACGTAACTTTCCGCCGTGCCATCCCTGCCTGCTTAGCTGACAGCACATTTATTGTAATAGAGGAGAGAGAAAGCAATTATAGTGTACATCAAATCTCTGTAACTCTGCTCGTACTTGACAAATCCTTGAAATTTTTTTCGCAGCGATTGATTCGTGAGGCAATAAACTCCTCTAGTGAAGCCTCTCAATGTTACGTGGAAAAGTGTTGCAGGGCCCCCCATGTAGCACAAAATGAATAATCCATGTTTTATAAACATTTACATGAGGCAATAAAAACGTCTAGAAGACATCACAGAATAGAAGCTGTAACGTCTAGAGATCTAAACATACATCTCATCAGTTTTGAAGGCCGTCAAGAAAATGTTACGTCGGAAAACATTCCATTCTATGAAAGGGATTGCTGGATATCTAAAATATGTCGTTGCATTGTCTTTTAAAAGACATTTTCTAGACGTTTTTAGGACATTGTGTGCGCTCTTTTCTTTCTGCTGTTTTGTTTTTGTGCATACAATCAGCGCACATTTATGGAAAGCCCTCTTGTTAATTATGGCTACTTTATTTTATAGTTACTATTACGGGCAAGAGCTCAGAAGACTTGCCCACAATAGTGGTCATGTCATAGTTTATTACGTAAAATAGCAACGATTCCTCTACAGCATAGAAACATGAAAACCACAAAACAAGATATAATCTACGACCAGATAACATAGTACAGAAGCGGCAAGAGCACATAAACAATTGCGGTAGTTAAAATACAGCTATATAGAATTGAACTTTCAAGAGCCCAAGTTTTTGTTGCACGATTCATCATTAGCAAAATTGTTGTCAAATAACTAATAGTGCAATATGACAAAACTTGGGATTTGGCACAATCATTCGATAATATGTAAGTATTGTCAATTAGCTCTGATGAACAAAATATTAGAATGAAGTGAAGAGAAATTTTCGAAAAGGAAAACGTCGCTGAAGCCGGGGCTTCGGCAAGAGGACTAGTTCCCGTCAGTGCCCTGGCGAAGACAAGCTTTTGTGTAGAAATGTTTCAACGCTTCATCTTCACTCAACTTTTTCCTCGTAAGAACGACAGAAAGAGAGGGAATAAAGGTTAAGCAACAAGGTCAGCTAGCCTTTAGTTTGCTACCCCACTCATGGGAGGGAAATGAGTGAGTGATAAATAGGAGCTACATTTCACAACACACACGGAAGATAATACGACAGGCGACCACTCACTTCTGTTGCCTTGTACGGCAGAAGGGCTCGTGCGGTTTTCTGGGCTTATTTACTGGGAAGCCAGACTCCCAAGATCTTCCCTTTAGAAAAAGGCCAGCCATAATGACTATTGAAGGCACACTGGAGAGTCCGACGATATCGAAATTGGGGACAACAGCACAAAAGTTGATCGGTAGTCTCAACACACTTGCGTTTATTGCACATTGGTGAATCTGCCATACCAATCCAATAGTTAAATGATTCTGAAGACGCTATACCAAGCCACAGCATTGTAAACACGAAAGGAGGCATGTGTCAAGCACGTGGTGTACGTATTCCTTGGTTTCAAAACGGTTGTTAAGTAGAGCTACTTAAGACCACAGTCAGTAGAAATTGACTCCATTGAGTGTGTGGGATGCGCAGTCAAAGGACGGATTCCAACATAAAGCGTAACGATTGTTTATTAACGTGGTAGCAGCAGCAGGACAAGCATGCCGTCACTGTGCTCAAACGGTTAGAGACACAATCATGAAACCAAGCTTGGTAGCTTGGGTTATATAGTCACCAGTGGTGACTTAAGCCTTCAGTGAAACTGCGGTGGTGCTGTCTTTTATCGGAAGAGTGTTGCAGCAAGTGGCCGTGTCACGCCAGGCTAATCAGTGATGTGATGGAGGCCGTGCAGGTCTGTGCGCAGTAGTCGCCACAAGTGTAAAATATTACTAAAACATTTAAACTGCAAAAATAACATTTGGCCCATCCAGCCAAGAATATGTATTAAAGAAAAGAATGTAAATAGCTTGCAAAATCACTATTACTAAAGTGTATTGTTCACAAAATGGAACTCTTAAAAACTTTCTTACAACATGCCTCTGTTGAAAGATTTCTCATTGAGAAATTTAGGTTCCATGGTGGCAAAGACTGTAATGCATAAATGCTTATGTTGTTTGTGTCTTGTATGTTGTGCAGTATTTTAACCTGTTGAAATTCGGAAGCTTTCGTAAAAAATGGAACCGATTTCAAAGGCATTGTAGTCCTCCTACTGTCACCTTCTGAGCCTGCAATAAAACAATTTTTTTCTCAAGCTTACATAGACTTTGGTAAGATAGCAGCTGATAGTGACAGGGGATGTGGGAGAAACATTTTTCTGCAGAAGGGAAAGTAGGTGTCCCATTTGATGCACAAAGGGTTAAGCTTCACAATCATTTTTTAGTGGCAGTAGTGAGACGGAAAAGAAACAATACTCTTTTCCTAGTGCCTGGCTTGAAAGACAATGCTTGTGAGCAATGGTAGTCATGTGAACAGGTGTGTCGTGCACTCTTCAGCTCACTGTCCCTGAATTCATTGTCTTTCAGTCCACTGGCAGTGCAGCCGGTGTAGCTTTTTTAAAATCTGTAGTTGCAACCACACAAAGTGAGCAGACAATGAATCCAAGCAAAACCTGCAGCATATTAGTGTTGATTTAAATGTACTAGAGAAATGATAGCAGAGGAAAGAAAACACAGAGGCCATTTAGGGGTAAATAGACAATTGTCAAGAGTAGCCAACTGTGCTGGTAATGGGCAACTAATACAGCAGGCCAGTCACAGTTGACCTGTTGGCTTTTCGCGAATCCTAACATACCTCTACTTTGTGCTTTTACTCTCCTAATGCTAGATTAGGCTGTTGGGTCTCACGTGCCAAAACCATGATACAATTATAAAAAAATGCCAGCATTAATTCCGACCCACAAAGGTTCTTTAAAATGCGCCCAGATGTATGAGCATACAGTGAGTTCCCGCACTTTGTACATGGCTCGTCGAAGGTTTCAGGGTAGTCGTGTGAATTCTAGAAAATACCACACAATTCAAGTTGCGCATATAGTCGGATTACATATGCTATGGTGCCACGTCACAGCATCGCGCGATACTGCTTTATTTCTCGCTCTTTTGCCACACTCCTCAAATGCTTTTATCTTTTGCTGTGCTCGTTCACTGGGTTACGACGAGGCACACCGACATTAACATGAGAACGGGCGAGATCTATGTGCGCTCTAAAATTACTGACGGAACAATGCATAACAAAATTGAAGCCAGAAGAACAAGTATTGGCCCAACAGGAGATATTGAGGCCAGAGTGTAGGCTCAGCACCAGGCACAGCTGTGGCTGCTACAGACATGCTCAGTCAATAAGCTGCATCTCAGTGGTCAAGTAATGGGCCCCGACTTCACAGAGCATCGACTTTCCAAGGCTAGCAACGTGACGTAATGCATTCTCATGAATTTATTCGCCCTTTGCTGTCCGTTTGTTTGCCCCCCCCCCCCAACAATGCAACACAGCTACAGCGGTATTCTTGTCGGGCAGCGCTGGACCAGTTCTTTCATGGTAAACTACTCACTGCATTATGTGCAGTCTTTTAGAATAAGAAAACTTTTTTTACTTCAGCATTGCTTTTCTTAGTTTTGGACTGGAAAGAATGGAAGATGAGTAAAGGTTTCAGACAGCTAAGCTAAAGATTAAGCCAAAAGCCTTACACGCCTCATCAGACAGAAAAATCGGGCAGTTATCATGAGGTACAGCAAGTACCACGTGTCCTCTCAAGCACAGCTAGAGGGTGCTCTAGCTGCTCGTTTGCACTGTGTTGGAGGCATTCGTGCGGGGCATGATTTGAAGGCCACGTGTGCTTTCAAGTAGTCGTAAGCCCATAAGAGACCGTGGTCATTTTTCTTCCATGCCGAACAGGCACAAGCCCTATTCAGGAAAACCGAAACGGCACAGTGTGAGGTACCACTGTGAATCAAACTCAATCAAACCCAACAAATACTAAGGGCTTTAAGTAGCAGTGCCTGTACAAAGCAGCCACGTTGCATTCTTTCATTTTTTCATTATGCTTACTAAAATGAGAACTCAAACAATATCTTGCCTCTACCTTCCTTTCCAACCTCAACACAGACACTATTTTAGACTAAATACACAGGTGTTATGACTCAACACTTATGATCGTGTCACCATGCCCTGTCAGGTCGTCTCAGCTTTATCAACAAAATGTAAACAGTTTTGCTCATTCAACGAGAGCGTTCATTACAGAAACACAACTGTTCAGTAATTGCAGAGCCTGCAAGCAAAATTTGACTGCCTGCACTCGTGTACAATAACACAACGTACTCAAGACAAAGATGTGAGCGAAAGAGTGTAAATCACAGTATGACCTTTATTTACAGACACATCACAGTGTACATCAAGAGAGCTTGTGTGAAAAGCTAAAAATAGTTCAGTCTGGGAGACTAGGTCGTGAGTAGTAAACTCTGAAAATATGTGACACAGACAGAAACCACAGTTTCCAGGAGGTAAGGAAAGAACAAAACCAGCTGCAAGTTGTCCTATTCAGCAATACCACGAGCTTTGCCTCCAGACAAATAACTCCACACAAATCAGGCACATGGGATTTGTTTACGTGACAAATCAGTGGCAGCACATGAAACGAAACACAATAACATTGTACTTGTGTAAGCATAAAAATGGTAAATAAGAGATGCACAGCAAATTATAAAAACATGCTAATACATTCACGCCGTTCTGGACAAACAACACTCTCTGAAGCTCTTGTAACCTTGAACATTGCACTCATTATTAAATGCTGTCAAAAACATTTAGAACATGCTGAAACACTCAACTCTGAAAGAGCAGAATATGCCAAACCAAAGCACTGTACCTGCAAAACAACACTGAAAGTGGCAGTACGTTTTCTTCGAGTGACAAGAACAAATAAAGAAAAACGGCAATACCAGAGGCATGAGGCGCAAACTCGGTGAAACTCTGATATGCACTTCTCTCGAATCATATCAAATCTCGCATTAGTAAGCAATTCAACATTAGTGCCCAAAGCACCAAAATAACATTTTCTTTCTCCAGTAAGCATTAAGTATGGTTTTTATACAACATGGGGTTGTCCAATGCGGAAAATTAATCCCAGTAATTAGAGCAAAGGTTCATACTTGGCTGTTACACAATACACCCTGTTGCACTCCCACCAAATCACAGGAAATGCATTGACAATGAGCCCCTTCAATGCAGATCAGATGTTTTGGCTTCCCACATACAACTCCTGCGAAGGTGACAAGGTGGCAGCCTGTATTAAATGAATTTAAGGGGGATTCATAGGCATGCTTTTAAATACTGACATGTACAGCTATTGAATCAGTTTTGACAATCGGTGGAATGTGGGCAGTGGTCACTGCAGCTGAGACAAAACCATCTCGACTGTTAGAAAATGGAAAGCCCCAGCTGCTTTAATGGCTGTCAACTTTGGTTGGAAGGGGAAAAAATATCTGTCAAAAAGGAAAAATGCCATGACTAGAGCACCATTCTTGCTTCTTTCAGTGATCCAATGTGTCCCTCATTCACTGCCTCTCCCTCGCCAAAGCAGTTATACTTAATTCTGTCACAGTGGCAAATCAATTCAATGCATTACATTTGTGCGATTCTTATATGATCGACTCACAAAACAAGATCGAAAGAACATGCGCACTGAGAAATGCATCTGTCACTGCAACAACAGCCACCAATAATCCTACAAGTTGTTTGTGCCATTCCCGTTGGTAACGGCTGCATGCACAATGAGAAAGAAAAAAAAAAGCAGTTTTAACGGAAGGAGCATATACTAGAAGAAATAACAGCCAGTACTGAAATACAAAAATACACAAGCAGCACATAGAGTCAACGGAGTGCAGTGTTTCGCTTTAGCAACACAAACTATTATATATGGCAGACTCAAATCGGTTTTCTCCAAAATCCCTTTTCTCTAATGCAGGGCGGATACAAGCTTTGTGCCCAGTGATTCCAAAAGCCTATTCGCATGCAGTGACCTGGAGCTGCTGAAAGTCGCGACGTGGCTCACGCATAATGACTTGACCCGTCACAACCAGGTACACTACACCTTGCGATTTACGCTAGGTAACGCATAGCTACACGACAAGAGATGAGCACCACAGTCGTTTTGCTTTTTGCATCAATCATACACACCATAAGGTGCACTCATGCAAAATGTCATTTGTGCACTTTTACCCAAAGGACATAGGAGTTTTACTACTGTGCAGACTCGTTACGCTTCCAATAGCACTGAGTGCATTGTGAAAGAAAACTCTTTCAGATGCAAGAACAAACAAGCAAAAGAAACTGAAGTGTTCCGAGGGTAGCGGCTCTTGTCCTCATAGCCTTTTCTAGACTGCTACACACTCCAATCACTCAACAGTACCAGTAAGGCACACCCAGCGCTTTTAGACACGCAAACACCTCTCGAAGGCAGCTTTCAAGCACACTGGTGGAACGGTGCTGAAATGCAACGATGGCTTGGAGGAAAGCCAAGGTAAGACACAAGAAGGGGTAGCAAGATGTTTGCTCCCCGAGCACGAATGGGCTGCAGTGAAGAGTGAGCGTGCTCAAACGACACGGTTCACTGAAGCTGGTGCTATTGTCGCACACCCCACAGTAAAACTTCACTGTTTGCAGCACTGTTTGTAAAAGAAATGCAGCAGCACTCGTGAAAAGGTTTGGTTGCTACGCATAGTCTCCACAGTGGCACGGGACATGAGCTTAGTCCCCACAGTGTAGCTCTTTTCTCACTGATGTCAAACGCAGTGATAGAGGAAGAGGAAAGGTACTGGGTCACTTTGGTCTATTCGTACAAGCACACCGACCCATACCAAAATAAATGAAAGATGCGAAATGGCCAGACACTTTAAACAAGTCACTTTCATGTGGTACTGGAAAAAGTGCCTTGCCAGCAAAGCACACAGTGCACATGATAGTCAAATCCCGTTACAGCAAACCTCAGATTAATGACAAGTATTCCCTTCTGAATGTTCGTTGGTTTAATGTAAAAATATTGCAGTACTACGACTTCCAGAACGATATATTGAATTTTTTCACCCTTTGTACCTCAACACATTAAAATAACGAAGTGCCAACTTAAAAAGTTGTTCAACGCAGTGTGAGCTATCTCCAGCTCAATGCATGTTACTACAATTGTAGGCAAACCCTGCCTATTTATTTATGCACCAACCTTATTCCGTGGACCAGCACATTATTCTAAATGTACGACAGTTCTATCATCGTCGCCATCACTTGTAGTTTTCCTTGTCAGGTTTCACCTCACAGCCTTTGCTTTGTCGACTAGCTACATCTGTACGTTTGTTGCATGGCTGTGTTGCTCGCTTTCGGCTTGGTGTTTTTACATTCTTGACGAGCTTCTGAAAGCAGCACAAAAGGAATGTGGTAACAGTGACAAATGCAATGCGAGTGAGCAGAAAAGATTCCCATGCATGTTTTACTGATGTTTGAACACTACGCCCAATGCAACTGGTGCTCCAACGAAGTATGCATGTCAGCTCAACTGACGACGAATGCGATCAACACCACTTGTCGTGATCAAGGAGAATGTGATGAGGACAATGACAGCGAAGGTGACGCTGTCGAAGAGGACACTGTCGATGAGGACGGTGACAGCGAAAACCAACGCGAATAATCAGTGTCTAACGCTGACATTTCTAAGAGCATAAGAAGGATGCACACTTTGAAGAGGTTGTCTTGCTGCAGTTGAGCTGCAGCCATCAAGCAAAGATCGCGGTCTTTTTCAAATAAATGTGCACTTTTTCCAGAATATTTCGTGTTCTCATTTAGCACTTTTAATATTAGAAAATAACGCGATTGCGGATGTGTACACAGCAAAGGTATGCGACTCCCTTGGTAACATTTACGATTTTTCGCAGTTCCTTGAGATTCGTTTTATCGAGATTTGACTATGGAACAGTTCAGACTTGTTGAATTAGCCTTGCCACAACACAGAACATCAGTCATTCCGTTGTTCAGGAAGCTTGAGGCGTAAGTTGGATATTTGCACTGTGAAGGTGGTGAGTGGATGCCGTGGAAGTCTTTGGTGTTGCTCAGTCATTGCATACACCTTGAATGCACCGATGAGGAAGAAAGTTCATGCAGGCACCCTAGAGTGACTGATTTCTACTCATGGCTGAGGAACCCTCTGAGGTGTGCAGTTGGTGGAAGGTGCTGCGTCTGCTGAACTTGTTTTTGGATCAGTTCATGCTTCAGCTCCATGAATGCATCAAGTCGTGCCTGGCCATACTCCTGCGCGAAACATGAAACAAAAGCCCCACTTCAAGAACACGTGTCTATGCAAGTAGATAATGCAGAAGCAAGAGCATGCAGCTGCCTACATGGCTGGTGGGTAATACAGTTAAGTCTCAGCATAACCAACTTCTCTTTATAACATTGCCCACAAAATGCCAGGTATTTCTGCCTCAATATAAAAGTGTACTTATCGGTCATTTTAGTGCGACAGAGTTTCACAACTACCCCAGAGAATAGCAAGGTGATGGATTGAAACTTCTAATGGTGTCACTCATCACATTGTTAATATGCATACAGTTTTCAAGAATGCATTTTCCCAACTGCATGCTGTGGGAAGGAGAGTAGTCGCCGGAGTGGTAAGCATGATTTTTGGCAGCCGCTGCCGGGAAACGGTTCACCTCAACGCACTCCTTGCCTTCAGAGCAGTGCAGAGGGATAGCATGCGACTGACAAATGGCATGTGTGAACCGTGGCGCATTCGTGGTGCATTGTATCGTACACTATTTAACCGTCGCAACGCAGTGCAGTCCTGAATTATACGCCATGTACGCCATGCATCAACGTCCACCTTGGTGTTTATGATATTGCCAGCTGTCAAGTATGAAGCATTAATAGTAGAGGCATGTGAATGGTGATGATGACAATGAATCAAATATGAATAGTTTTCAAATACTGTTAGAATAGTTTTTGAATGATAAGTAGACCATATTAAAAACAGTCTAGAACACCACAACATTATTATTTGAAATAAACATTTACAAACTTTCACCAAAGGTGATTACTGTTAGATTTAATGAGACTCAAAATACCACAATTACAAAAAGGTAAGCTCATATACAGCAGGAAACTAGAGCCTTCACAATACTTTGTAACTGTGGATTATAAGATATTATCATTGACTGTAGGCACAGGCAGACGAGGTCGATTATGCCATCAATGTCCTAGACATTTACCAGCAGCTATGTGCACACTAGATAATCCATACCAAGCGTGCACGCACCTTGAAAGAGCAGGTTATGTGTGTGCACTATGTCACAGAACAAGTTTGGGAACGTTAAGTGCTAAGAAGCAAAATGATGTGTAAAAATGTGCGAGTATCGAACTCGTGGCTAGTTTTGTGGAACTTAGCAGATTTCTGCGGTTCAACAGCTCTCTCGGCTGAGAAAATCTTTTAACTATTAATATAGATAGGTATAACCCCCGCCCCTCCTTCAGGACTTTGAGAGATGGGGAAAGAAGTTATATTGAAAATTCACTTATACACAGCAATATTAAATAGCTGGTCAGGAAAACAGGAAAAAAAAAAAAGCAGCCTCGAATACATTCTCTCGTATATATACAGTGATAGTTGAGCGACCGTACCCAATAGCCAAACTTGATTTTCGATGTGTGGGCATTGAAGATACTCCAGAGAGTCCAGAAGAGATGAGAGGCTAGTGTGAAGACACGCGCCTCGTGGAGCACATAGTCCACGGTGCACATATTTGGTGGCTGCTTAGGCTCATTTGTCAGAGCCAGGCACTTGGTGTATGTTGTGAGGTACCGTGCAATGAACAGTCGCTAAAAGGGAAGCAGAAAAGTAATGCAGTGAGCTTGGCAATGTGCACGTACAGATGACACTAGAAACAAAGCATCTGACAAGAAGCTTCAGTAACAAGACTTTTTCTTCTCTCAACACTACGGGAAGCTGGGACACCCACAGTCATTGATAGTACAGCTATTACTAAAAGATAACTACTTAAAAACAACACATACAGTACCTCAATACTAAGTCAGCAAGAAGCACATAAGCATTTTCAAGTTGGCCTTGCTATGCAGTAGCAAGTGACTTATTAGATTAGCTGCACATTCCGGATTCTTTTTCAGAGTGGCAAATTCACTTAGACTTGCCAGCCCCAAGAGCCGTTTCAGCCAAAATCTTTCATCTCTACCAGATGGTCCACCAAGGCAACGGGTTCATAAACGTATACCTAGACTGTACAGGAGTTGGTTAGTAAAGGTAACACTAACTTAATTAGCTGTACGTGCTCACATAAATCGGAAGCTTCCATCTTCACACGCTACTGTCTTTCGCACACGCTTAACCAAGTCATAAGAAAGCAATGATTTTAAAAAGCTATTTCTTATTAGATGACTGGTTGTTTTTTCACAGCATAAGGATCACTTCTAACCCATTGAAGTTGATTGTGGCCATCACTGCAGCCTACAACCATGAACTACGAGTTTATCGCTAATAATAATAATAATAATAATAATAATAATAATAATAATAATAATAATAATAATAATAATTTCACATGCTATTGTCCCCGAATTAGGATGAATTTTTGCCAACTAAGAAGCTTCTCTTTCTGAGAAATCCGTATGGATATCTTTGTGGCTTCATGCTACAAACAGGTGGTTGTGCGATTTCCATTTCTTAATCCTTCGGCCACCTTGCGGGTCTCTGCAGAACTCAGTTGCATAATAAGAATTAATATCTGCAATTTTTCATGCAAGAACCACAACATTATTACGACGGAAGGCGTAGTGGAAGACTGCAGAAATTTGGGCCATCTGGTGTTCTTTAAAGGCACACTGAAGTGAAACAATAAATTGGTGTAGATTGATACATTGTATTCTAAAAACTAATTCATTTCACAATTATAGGTTTTTTTTATTAGAGGAGAAAATCAAGGTCATTTTAAATTTCGTTCTGAAGTCTCTGCTGCACTTGATGTCACAGATTTAAAAGCATATTTTTTTGTATTTTGGCTGCAGTGGCTCAACGAAATCTTGTCAAACTTGGGATGTTAAGTTTATGCTTAAATTTACTCTTACATGTCTAGTAACACTGGCACGTACCTGATGCTCTACAGACGGATAGTCTCCAGGTAGAGCCTTGAAGTAGGGATGCTCGGGATAAGAGTAGTCGTACATCCATTCGCAAAAGTGGTTTGCGATGTCAAAGCCCCTGTCGATACACAATGAAAGAGAATACAGGAAGGGGTGATAATGAGTGCCTGCAAGACAGCAGCAGAAAAAAATAAAGGAGAAAAAGAAAACAGCGCACAAACAGAAGTGAAACACTCACCTGTAGTTGTAGGCGCAGTACTCATAGTCAATGAACACCATGTTCTCTTCCTTTGGACCTGGACCATCCATGAAAAGAATGTTTCCTGCGCAAAAGACGCACAGACAGACATAAACAAGCATTTTTTAAAGTTATGCAGCAAACAAAAATGACGACAGATCAGAAGAGCCTAAATATGATATACATTAGGAGTATAATTGCTGCAAGTTATAGTGTGAAAATGTACACAAGTTGGCTTTGAGACGTTCAGAAACAAGCCATTGCATACAAAAGAAAATAGCTCACGATTCAGTGTTTCATACAGGTTTGGTGCAGATATAGAATTGCTGAGGCAGCATATAAAGTAGCTTGCAAAATTTATACAGTGGCTTGCCCCCCACTGAACCCTCCTACAAGTGCAGCACACAAAAATGAAAGATGCACTGATGAACGTGGGGTGCAACCATTAAGCATTATGCGTTCTTTCTACTAGTGAAAGAAAGAACAATACTAAGAATCAAATCAACATGGGGCGGTGTAGATCAGGGCTAATCCTCTGTTGTGTACTTCTTTCTGATCTGTTAACACAATAACAAGAACTATAGCTAGCATTACTGCTCCCTCATGAACACTCGAGCCATTTTAGATAGCACCTGAAGTGAACCAGCTGCACTTACCTTCCTGAAGGTCATTATGGCAAAACACAATCGGAGACTCTGTCTTCGCAAGGAACTCTCTGAAATTCGAGATCACACAGAAAAAGTCAGCATAGGGAAAAACAAAAGACGACCTACATGACAATGCAGCGAGAAGAGTACGCATATTCGTACTCTCTCTCAACACCTGCGAGCAATATTTCATTTGTTCACTACACAGAAGTACATTCAAGAAGTCTTCATTACACGTCTTTAAAAGCTATCATAATTTAAAACATGCCACCCTTATCTAACAAACCCCAGCAAGTTCTGCCAAAGGCTAGAGAGATAGCACTTATTTGTAAATATGGCACACAGCAAATTGAAGCAGTTCACAACCTCAATAATCGTCGAAAAGAGTGACCAGTGATTGTACAACGTGGCTTGCTGGGAGACCACAGAAAAAAAAAAAACCTACACAGCTAAAAAAATGCTAATCTTCACATTGGTCATTCAACCTAAGAAAATCTTGTCTTGCAACAGCAATAACACATGGACAATCCAGGAGCATTTCTGCTGTTTCCTGTCGACGTGATGTTCTGTATGAAGTATGAGACACTTGCTGATCCACAAAGAAAATATGTCATGAGCAGCATGAGTGCTAACATTTCCCCACATGTTGTGTAGTGTGCAAGTAAAAACATGCCAGGCCTCCCAACGTAACCTGCCCAAGCAGAGGAAACATGCAGCACTCTTTCGTTTCTTGAAAGGTGCATGGAGGTATGGAGGGAGGGGGGGCTGCCACGTGTTTTCAGTGGATCAGCACATGCCTCAAAAGTTTGCACGTGATGTGCTCTTATCACAAAGGTTGTGTTATAGGAGCCCTGCAACACTTTTTCAGCATGGTCAAAAAACCTTGCCAATCGGTAGTCAAGGCTCCCTGAGGACATGCGAGCCAAAAGCGCAACACATGGCCTGAAATTTCCTGTTAATTCTCAAAGTCAGCTAGGAAACCGGTCCTCTCTTGTTTCTATAAATGATGCCACATACCAAACTTCAAAGCCATAGGCTGATTTGAACCTCGCAGGCTGCATAGCTACTGCAGCCACCACATGCTTGCGATCACACTGAAAGTAGGCCGTGTGTTCGAAAAAAAAAAAAGAGGGAAGGAAGGTTAAAGGTCTAATGCACACGTTTTACTGACATCTTTCTTCGAGTCATTCCTCCCTGCTTAGCTTCCAGAGCACTTGTTAGGACGAGAGAAGAGAGAAAGCAATTACATCAAGTAACAAATCTAACTATGCTCATTTTCCCCACTTTTTAGAAATTATTGCAGTGGTGTATTCGTGAGGCATTTATCTCCTTTAATTAAGCTATTTGATGATTACTTGGAAAAGTAATGCAGGGCCCCTTTAAGTACAACCTCTTTATAAGAGGCATGCTCAGGATACCAACTGTTGTCTTTTATATGAGATGTCTCTCATAAGCAGAGTACCTCGTAGGCATTTTATTATCACCCGCATTTTACTGTAGGCACACTGGTGTCTCTTATACCCATCTGTTTCTTATATCAGTGTCTCTTATAAAGGGGTTCGACTGTATTAACAAGCAAGATAACGACGCATAGAAGTGTGTGAATGTAATGATTGATTGTGGGGTTTAACGTCCCAAAAGCACCATACAATTATGAGAGACGCCGTAGTGGAGGGCTCCGGAAATTCTGACCACCTGGAGTTCCTTAACATGCACCTAAAATCTGAGCACACTGGGCCTAAAAAAGTGTGTGAATGTGTGTGAACGTAATTGGCATACTTGTGACTAGTTTTTTGGAATTAAACCAACGGTCAGTATGTACAATTCTTAACAGTTCTGTAGGTCCAGAACTTTTTTTGTGTGTGGTAGATTCGCAAGCCAATAAACTCCTTCAGGGAAGCCACTACTAGTTACTTGAAAAAGTGTTGCAGGGCCCCTTAAAAGCATAGAGAGCATAAAGGTCACTTTGCTTGCTGCATCAGACTTTCAGGGTTTCCTGTAAAAGTGAGCTACCAGCTTCACTTTGCATTACATTCCTATTTCTTCCTATCAAATCCATTGCTTCGCACTTGCGGCAAAGCTGTGACCCTTTGTTTCATCCCAAGCACCATGTTATTCAGGGTGTGCAAACAAGATGGACTGGCCTTGCTGACCACCCAAGAATCACTTTTAAATCCTTTGAATTGCAGCAAGAGCTATAATCAAGCACTTGATAGATGCACCACTCTACTCACTTTAGCCAATTGACTTCAGCTGCAAGATCAACTGTGAGCAGCTTGACAGCCATGGTATGGTTTTTTATGGGCACAGTGTCGACCTTGATGGTTCGGGCATACTTGAGCCACCTGCACACGTGTGAATGCATCACAGGTGAGGACCACCAGCATGACGACACTGGAGATGTTTAGGAAGAAGGACAAAAAAAAGAGAGACAAACCAGAGAGTAGACATATGACAGGCATTTTATAACAACTACAGTTAAACTTGAACATAACGAAATTGATAAATTTCAGAAAAAATTCGTTATAAAAAGGATTTAATTATATGCAGGTTCTGTACAAAAAGTCAGAAAATGAACACACAAATTAAACAAAAGGGGGACTGAAGGCAGAGCTAATTCAAAACACTTATTTTACAGTAAAAAAACTGCGTTATTATTGCGATAGCAATTATATAAACACTCTCAGCGAGTTTTTGTTGTCTACGCCATGTTCCGTGAGCAAATGAGCAAAAATGCAAAGAAATACGCTTGGATGCATTTATTGGAACGCCAACCTGTATGGAGTGAGGTGGCTCATGGAAAGAGGCGACTCTAAATGAAATAGTGAAGTTCGTTGGACATATCATTCACAAAGGGATTATTCACATCACAGGTATCCATCTAAATTGAAACAACTGGAGATTCTTATCGCAAGACAATAAAAATTTACCGAGAAAAGTGTACAAGTACACTTGTGGCTCACTAAACACCATGCAATGCTTCACCGCATGGCATAAGCAACGAAGCAGCCCCTCAGTTGCGATTTCCTTCGTCTATGTGAAGAGAAACATTTTGTACAACAATACTTATTTTTTATACAGTTTCTGGGTAATCTATCTACAAAATGCATATTCCTTGTTTTCTTTTTTTTTGCATATTTTTGCACATATAGTGTTTTTATTGCACTGTTTATCAGCTGGCAACGAAAACTTCGGCACTTTTCACATTTGCATTCATTATGAAATATTTTCATTGCTCTAAAACAGCACATCTTTCAGAAAGAGCCTTTCATTGTGCAAAGTTTAGTATGCTGCAATGCATGCTGGAGTGCTTTTCAAACTGGCGAAAACGATCTTCCCGAGACATATGAAAAACAACCAATTTCGCGCGGTAATGAAAGATTCAAGTACCCACTCCTGTATGTGCCATGATGAGTCTGCAGTATGCCTAAATAAAATCTAATAAAAACAATATAATTGTACCACACTTCTTTCTTTCAATCTTAAAGAGCATTATAAATTACTTCTGCGCACTGTGGAAAAAGAGTAAATTAAGGGCTCATTTTCTTGTGGCGCTATGTGACGTGATGCCTTGTGGCCTACGCTACATGTGCCGTCGTGGCTGTGAGTAGCGCTGAGTGGCACTCCCCAGTATTACATCTAACTTAATTACCCAATAAAGTGGACGGGAAAACAACCACCAAAGTAGCCCACCAAAGCATTCGAGCCACATTAAATGCTTCAGCATTTCAAGTGGCTCACTTGAGAAACTTGTGCCATCTACAAATAAACGTACATGCCAACAAGTCCTTTCTTTAAGGAAGCTCAACACTGCCTGAGGGAGGCCTCCCGATACACATGGTGTGTGTGTGTGTGTGCATGTGCCTATGCGAGAAGGAGGAGGCGAATAAGTACACATATATCGATAGCTGATCATCAGGCAGCGGTGCCGTTGAAGTCTTGGTGGAGGACGCCTCCCCATCCTCTTGATTTTAGGCCTGTAGTGCCATTCATATATGTTTTTCAAAATTCCTATATCGTGCATTCAAAGCATGTTGTTCAGGCAGTGGCATATGCTTTAACTTGTAGGTGGTTTTTCTCCTCAAAATGTGTTGCTGGTACTATTCCTACTTACACTGCAACGCTAATTCTCTATTCATGATGAAGTAAACATCAAAGGGAGCAATGAGCATAATACCTGTTCATGTTGTTGAAAAGCCACGTGGGCTCCTTGACCAAAGGTGCTTGCAATACATGGACCCTTGCCAACTTTTTGGAGATAAGCAGCGAAATTTCTGGGTCCTTCAACTGCTGGAGCGTCAACGCTCGAGCCTAGAAACAACAATAACATCTTGTTGAAAGAAAAAATAAGAACACAGAACTTACGAACTTCAACATGCAAACTGCCCCATGCAATCTCAGGTGTTAATCTCTATAGCGAACACAACCACAAAAAACAAAATGATGTCGCAGAAGTTCACAATGCTTGCACCACATAAACATAAGCAGTGTGAAACCACTGCAAACAAAATTTTCAGTAAATTGGCACACCAATGCAGCATCTTGAAAAGAATTAGGACATTTCTAGGGTGTATTCCCTTAGGTGATGCTCATGTACAACTGGTGACATTGAATGTGAAAAATTGCGAGCTTAAAACTTCTTTATATTTGTGACTAGTAGAAACTAAGCACCCTAAAATGCAAGAAAACAGGAGAGCTTAATCGAAGTCTATTCTGTCAACAACTTAATTGAAAAGCCAGCTGGGCATCGTCCGTTTTACAGTTCTGTTTCTAGCTTCGAAATCAAATTACCGTAATATGGAATCTTGGCATCCTCTTACTACCATAGCACAAAGGCGCAGGCCGCACCCGTTCTATTAAGAGCTGCTAAGGACAACGAATTGTGAAACAAACATGAGCAGTACAGGAAATGTGCTGCACAGGATTTAGCATCTGTGTTATATCACTCATGCTAATGTCTCAATCTTCCTCAGTGCCTTAAAAATGTTACATGGCAGTGCCAGTTAATAACCAGCCAGGCTTTAAACTTCAATCCTTGTGAGAAGAAACTATCGTAAATACCTTATTTTATTTTTAAGCACACACTTGGCATCTGACACATAGCAGTCAAGAAACAATCTATGCATGGGTCATGACTTTGCGTGTGATCCCTCACATCCATAAACAATCTTGCATTGCTATAAAGTTCAGCATTCACATTATTTTTCTATCCTTGTCCACTATAACAAGTCGTGTGCTCTGCCTATAATGCAGAATACTCACACTGTGCGAAAATGTTTTTTTTAGGCTGGTGCTGGCGGCATCAACCATTTGCGAGAGCAACCGAAGACATCAATTGGAAATTCGCACCGAGCACACATGCAACTTGGTCTGTAGGATACAAAAAGCCACAAGACATATTCACCGACATGTGCCCCTGTCTAGACCTGTCTGCTACTGAAATTAGTGTTCAGCACAAAAAGGCATGCACAGCCAATTCTATGCACAGCCAATTTCACAAACCCACAGTTAGCACAAGTGGAAAGGCTGCAAGAGTTGTTCACAGCATGCAGATAGATGCCAGGCACTCATGAAAATGTTACTCTGGAAGTGGGCCGGCAGCCCAACTTTTCTCGCCATTCTTATGCCTCGGTCAACTGCGACCAAACCTGTAAAATTGGTCTTCAGGACTGCACTCGAACTCGAATATTAGCTACATTTCTCCATCAGTTTCATGCAGTAGAAGCAATAGGGCTGACTCCGATATGCTGGAAAGTGTAGAGACATCTTTTGCATATGCTTTACTCCTGCACGAAAATCCCCAATGAGAACATTTATTGGAGGAAAAACTCCAAGAGAACTACACATTACTACAGTCATTGAATCTGTACTCAAATCAAGTGGCACAGTGAATGCTACTTCATAAAACAAAACATCACGCAAGGAAAAATATTGCATGAAACGCCTCGCAGACACTGAAAGCAAGCATCAGATCAACACTATGTTAGACTATCTATCTATAAATACAGCAAAATTTCCTTTATACAAAGATATGACAACAAAGATATGACAGTAGCACTGATAATTATGACTGAAGGCGTTGCACACTTAGCAATGAAAGAAGAGCCCAGAGGAGAGCACAGCATTGCTCTTTCATTTTATGTCACGCCTGTAGCACACAATGCTGCACACTTTAAAATAATTATCATGACGGCGTTCTGAACTCGATTCAAGTGTTTACTTGAAATGTTTTAGAAATATTGAAGATGCTTTAGCGGCCATTTACAGCTGCATCTTCTACAATCTTATTAGAGCTTTCTTACTACAGGTTCTATACAGATAATGAAATCTAAAAGTACCAACGCAGTGACTTCAAGTGTACTTCGAGGGGTTAATATGCTCACAGGCACGAGTTCATTGACACTTTGATTTGACCGTGTGGGGTTTAGCATCCCAAGACCACCGTATGATTATGAGAGACACCATAGTGGAGAGCTCCGGCAATTTCGACCACCTGGGGTTCTTTAACGTGCACCCAAATCTGAGCACACGGGCCTACATCATTTCCGCCTCCATAGGAAATTCAGCCGCGACAGCCGGGATGCAATCCTGCGACCTGCGGGTCAGCAGCCGAGTACCTTAGCCACTATAAGCTCATTTGCACTTTCTACCCCACCAGAACCAATAAATTTGCTTCTGCTGTTTTGGCTAGCCAGCCAGAGCTTGATGCTCATGAAAACTGAAGCCAGAGAACAAGACCTCTGCAAAACCATGTTTTGCTCACACACCATGCTATATGTGAACGCAAAGCATGTTAGTTCGCACTGCAAACAGGCATTAAATTATTAAGGTTAGCATGTTACGGCACAGCTGTTACATTCAATGACAACCAAAGAACTCTCATAGGTACACCGCCAGCAACTTGAGCATTCAGTCGAATCCAGATAAAGAATGTGGAGATCCAGATTGCTCAATATTTCGGTAATTGAAAAATTACACCCCAAGTACCACACTTCACTGAACAATGATCAGTTCCCTCAACTATTAGTAAGCTTCACCACGCTATAGGGCTGTGTCACAGCAAAGCATATTAGTGCCCTAATTTCATCATGCGGCTAAGACTTACTGCACGAACCATAACACGTGCTTTCACTTCCCCCTTATAACGTGCCCTTCTTTGAAGGTTCAGAAAATGCCCTGTGAGACAGGATCTGCCAAAACAGAACCATTTTGTCAACACAAACATTTTCATTCACGGGAAAAGTTATTGCAGTGCCGTTAGAAGAAGCGAACTTGCAGAAGCATTTTATTTATGACAGAGGATGTTTTCCATATTTTGTCACGCAGTACAATATTTTTTCATTGCATTTGCACTAGGATGTTACAGGCAATCGATATAGGTGATAATTAGATGTGCTCGATATGCAGGTTCGACTACAGACAACAACTCAGCCACCAACATTTGTGCGCTTCCATGATGTCAGCATCGAGGCAAATATTTTGTAATGTGTGCCACTGTCTATCATAAATGTTATCTTGTATCACAAAGTTATTATTTGGTGCTGTGGGGAGAGTCAGTCCAATCTGAAGCCATAGGTTGTTACCAAATTAATGCCATAACCCAATTTAACATAAGAAAAAAAGGTGCTTGCGTACAGCTAGGTGCATTCTTCTACTTCTTCCATCAGCAAAAATATACTTTGACACCTTTGGTCTTCACTAACGTGCTCTCAAAGGTTTGCACGACAAAGGTATCAAGTCGGTTGTACAATAGTTTGCCGTATTGCACAGCTTCAATAGAAAAGGGTTGGCACAAGGGACAGACTATTGCAGCAGCTAAATCATGGTTAGCAATCCAAATGCAGGGTCTAGGACGAGCTTTCTGCTAGCCACTCTCATCTTAGGCCACGGATCATGCCTCCTACTCTAATTCTGCCATGCTTAATGACGAAGCCACCGCATCCTGTGATACTGATGCTCTGGTTATCCATCATTTGTGCCAACCTTTTTTCGTAGCAACGATGCATACAAGAGAGCTTATCTAGAGCAGTATCCAATTAAGAAGAAAGTCATGATTTGCCAGTTTGAGAGTTTCATTACTGCCCTTGTCGACACTCTCACAACCAACTTGTTCTGAATGTTTTACTTACATCAACTTTCATTAAAATTAGTTCTGCTAATGGTAGTTCTGCTAATGGCAGCCTACGATTATTATAAAAATGTTAATTATGTCCAATGAAATCAAACAGCAAACATTAACCAAACTAGTGCTGAATAAGAATAATAAACAACCTGAAGTCATTACTCATGCATTAATACTGTAACTATTATTAGGCAAGATCATTAATTTTCGAATGACTTAACAGACCTCTTTGCAAACATTCCCCAACATTAAGAATAAAAGAACACAGAAATGAAACTTATCAATCAAAGCCACTTATCACAAAGCACAAAAAAGGCAATGTTATAAGTAATTTACTGCATGTCTTCGTTTCCTGTCCTGACAAACGCAGCAGCTAAAAGGTGCTCTAAGTGAAACCACCAAGTGCCCACAAAGAACCCCGTATTTATAAACTTACTTCATTCCCTGCTCTAATTAGCTGGAATTCATTAGACTAGGATGCTTTTGAATCCACCTCCACCTGGTAATCCTAGCTATATATGGCCAGAAACAGTGCATGAGAGAATATGCATGCGGACTTCATAAACAGCAATAAGACACTAAGTATAAAGGAAGATCCGAACGCAAGTGTTGACTCACAAAAGAAGGTCTATTATCATGAACCTCATTGTAAAACAAATGACCGACCATGAGCAGAATAACGTAAAGAAGTACGAACACTCTCATGGCATAAAGCAAGATAAAAAAGTATCACGACTACGAATTGCACAGATAGCTGTTAGCACTCTGATGTCTCTGCACGGCTAGTAATGTAAGTATCAGTAACGATTCACCCAACTAGCTAAGAGTTTTCGTGCAACGCACATACAAAGAGCAGGTGAAAACAGAAAAGTGGATGCTTACAGGAATGTACTCTTCGAGGCGTCCTCCCGGAAATACACCGTAGAGTTTTGGACCCAGGTTTCGCTCCGAGAGCAAAGTGCAGATGACACTCTCAGTGACTGTGGTGTCGCTTCCTTCGCTGGGGATTTGTCCATACATGCGCATCAGAACCTGGCTGGGCTCACCGTACAGGGGCGTGTGTGTTTCGGGCAACGAGCAGTAGTACAGGAGGTTGCTAAGGCCACCACTGAAAGGACAAGAGAAGCAACCAAGTGAGCTCCGATTGAAGTAGCAGCTGATACGTCCCACTATGATGTGTATTGTCACAAGGTATGCATTAAACGGCAGCGATTAATGCAATTTAACAGATGAACTAACCATAATCCATTCTCGTGGAGCTGCATCATGTCTTGCAACTGGCTTTAGCAATTAGAAAGTTTGAGCAAGCTCGTCGATCATCCCTAATTGGCATGGACAGAGTCATCTGCACTCCTCCTTCTTTCAATCAAGCGTGGTTCGGCACTGAAACCATAGTTTGGGCTGGCTTTAACACCAGAGGCAGTACAAAACAGTGAGCACCAATGCCATTTCACTGACCATTTGATGGTCGGTGAAAGAAAGCTCGTGGCCCTATGTACTGCACAAAACTGAATTACACCCAGCAAACTACTTGACCCTTCCAGTTAATTTTCTGGTGTACAAGAATGAGATTCATATACACTCCATATTTTAGAGAAAACGCAACCATGTGCACGGCCACTTCACTGCAGAGCAATGGTGTAACAAAAAATATGCTTTTTGATGCTTGCAATATTTCACACACCATATGACTAATTAATTAATTGCTGGGGTTTAGCATCCTACAACTACCATATTATTATGAGAGACGCTGTAGTGGAGGGCCCTGGCAATTTTGACCACTTGAGGTTCGTGTACCTAAGACTTAGCAGACTGGGCCTCAAGCTTGATATTTTCGCCTCCCTCAAAAATGTGGCTGCCGTGGCGGGAATTCGATACCACGATCGGCAGGTCATCGGCCAGTTTCATGTGTGGCTACAAGGTTGTCATTTTGTGACCTTATTAGAGTAATGCCTTTGATAGTATGAATATCGAGGAGCACAAGAGCAAAGTCAGCATTGTTTATAACCAATCATAAATAGGTTTTAAACACTCGGAATTCAGTCATTGGATTGAGACTTAATGAATACAATCCTGCAGCTATAGCAACTGATGCCCAACACTAGATATCAACTAGCCACGCAACTTGCAGACTATTTTAACAGCCAATATTACCAATCTTTCAGCCATCTTTAGCCACCATCAGACAGTGTGATTCGACGTAGGGTTGGAGATATGCAAGTATATACAGCATCTGAATTACAGCCAAAAAGATTCATTGTACCTCACTACAGAATGTGGGCAGGAGACATGCGATAGACGCTGCCTTCAGATAAGTTTTACTAATTTTGTGCTTTCACTGTCCTCACTGTCCTAGACTAAGATAACTAATTTCGGTATTTAGAGCTCCAACTCTCACTTTTTAAGTCATTTTAAGGTTAACACCCCGGTTTCGACACATGATTCCAGTACATTAAATTGTTCATTTAGAGGTTTCACCTAGAGAAGTACATTACTTGTGAAAACCATGCCGCTGTTTAACACAACAGCAATAAGGGTGTGGACTACCCAATTCATATTAGATTTCACACGAGACAGACAAGATAACAAAAAATCTACAGCATTACATCATAGTTTTTATTAACGGCATTGTATAATTACGAGAAGCTACAGGATTAATAACTTATGCATCTAGTATACAGTTATAATTTGGCTATGTATCCAAAGTACCATACATACATGCAAATGGCTTTATCCTGAAAGTATACCAGTGATTTGCCATGTTGACATCGTTGCACGACAATACTTTAACCTGCTTCCACACCCGTGGGTATTACACAAAGGCAATAGACGTAGAACGTACAATAGTTAAAGAGGCACCACTGTTCTCCACTGCTAATCTCCACTGTTGCGATACTAATAAGCATACAAGAGAGGCATGAAAATAATCATTAACACCGACTTAAATAGTTAAACCGAGATGCACAATAACAATAAGATGCCAAACAAAGAAGCAAACAAATACTGAATGCTTCGTTTTTAATGCTGTACTTCAAGAGAAATCGACCTATATGCAAGATTGAAGTATAATGAGAAGAAGCAACAAATATGGCACTGCCATTTTTTTACAATTAGAAAATAAACATGTGTGGGGGCTTTGCTATTCAATATAAATGCAAGCAACAGACATTTAATGTCCCTATGTACAACGTCACATTTATAGGAGACTCCACAATAGCAAGACCACAAATCGAGCACTATGAGCAAAGGATAAGTATCTCTGAAAATCTCTACAGAAGTAAGATAAAACAAATAGACAAGCACTTCAGTCTATGAAATGAGCAGTGTATGGCAAAAGCCACACTTAGCCAAGTGAAACTGCAAACAAAAGATAAGTGTACAAGTGGAAAACAGTATGGCACATTACAAACAAACGGCATCAAAGTTAGTAAAAGTCAAATAGATGAAACAAAGGCTCCTGTCACAGGTTACAGTGGCATGACAATGATAACAATGTACATACGATGAAGAGTTGGCTTCGCAAGAAGTGCTCCTACAAACAACATGCCTGTACCGCGAAAGCTAAATCAACGCCGCACTCACTGACGAGTGACGCTGCCTAATTGCTGTGCTATAGTACGAAGAACCCCTGCTGGCTCGAGAGTGACGTCCCTCAAAAACAATGCACAACTTTCGCATGCCACATCTACCAACAAATGAGGATGCTATGCATGCAAATCAAAACTGCATGTAGATACAAAACAAATAACAAGTGCTGCTCACATTTGAAGATATCTGTATTTAGACCCACGTTTAAGCATTCCTTCTAAAAAAACAGTTCAAATGCTTGATAGGGTGCCTTGTCCCAAGACAACAATTAGTCAGTTGGTCACGCTCATGTTTCCATTACTTAAAACTTCACACCTGTAACTATCGCACCAAGAACACTCACAATGCCCCACTGATGATGAGAGTGTTCCCTGTGATATGGCAGTAGCAAGTGCTAACCATTTAAGGAGAGGCATACAGGGCACAATGCAATTACTGTTTGGAAACTACAAATGGTAGAAGCTCATTTCAGATTGTTGGTATATGTATCCTCTGTGTGCAAGAAAAAAAAATGGACAGAAAAATTCACCTACATGTCGCTTATAAAAATACAAGCGTTTTTTTCAGTAATGCTCAACTGAGGACAAGTTTCTGAAATGCTTCTGTGTTTACACGCGCATAGCACATTGAACAGACAATTACACATCTTTAGGTGCTTTATCACGGAAGGGTAGTTGCCGATATGAAATATCCGTTATAGCCATATTAGTTTTTAACGATTCTGAAATTGTGGGACTACCTCAGAAATCAATCCTCAATGTGTAAAGTTAAATAGTGGTAACACAAGGCAAACTAACCATATGTTATTCTTCATGTAATTATTTTAAAGGCCAATAAGAAACAAGCACGCACTTTAAAAACATATGCTCAACAATAACAAAACATTAAATTACCTGAATTACCTTGACAATTAAAAGACATTTTTTATAAGCTTACATGTATAAGCAACCACAGATGACTATGCAGCTTTGTTCAGTTAGTTTAAATACATTTCTAAGAGATGTCAACACCAGAATCGTTTCTGAATTGTCATCTTCAATATCGGCAAGAGCAGGTAGGCCAACAGATATTGTCAACATGAGGACACTTACTATGAGTGTTTGTGCCAGTGGCTGAAATTATTTTGCTGTAAAAGAACTCTTAACTATACTTTCTAAGTGGATATGATCAAAGTGCACCACAAAAAAATACTACCATAAGGCATACAAATCTTGTTGCAATTCAAGCTTCTGAAAAGATTGCTGAAGTTGTCACTTATTGATTGATTTGTGCGGTTTAACAACCCAAAACCACCATCTGATTATGAGAGACGCTGAAGTTGTCACTTAATTAAGCAAGACATTCTCAAATGTTTGGATGACCAATCTAAAAATGACAAAGCAACAGTGCAAAATAAAATGGATATAATCTAGGCACAACTGACAAGCAGCTACCGCTGTAACAATGCTACAACCACAAAGCCTACACAGAGAAGATTTTAACGAGTGGCAGCCATCAAAGTAAAACCTGAACTCTTATAAAACTAAATCGAGTGAAAGAGAACATGATATTGGCACTTGTGAAAAGAATGCCTGTGAAAAGAATATACCGTGGAGCATGCAGGCTTGTGAACATACAGCATGAGCAGCTTCACCAAAAAATACAAAAGGGCAGAAGTGGAAGGGAACACCTGCTACAAAATAACTTACCCTGCATGCAGAGAAGCCAAGGCCACATGTTTGGAAAACAGTTCGAGCCTAATGCACGCAGCCACTGAGGCGTAGAGAGATGTATATGTGGCGCAAGCAGCGCGTCAGCAGTGAAGATTGTGATGAAAGCCCTTTCATTTTATTATGAACATCGCAATGCACAAAACATCTAAAAAATGACTCAGTACATGCAGGACACTGAGCACGAAGCAACCGATTGAGAGTTGTTAAAACTATGATTGTGCACACTGTCCACCAGTGACAAAGCCCAGATAAAGTAGAAGTCAGTATCTCGTACATTTCCTATTTTTTATGCTTTTTGTACTTGTATGCACAAAGTTACTCCACATTCCAACATGATTGCTTTCTAAAGGCTATGAAAAATTAACAAAAAAAGGTAATTGACATCCATGGAAAGCCATTCATGCAATGTGTGAGATGTCATGCAACCTTGAGATGCCATGCAACCTTGAAATGTATACTAGGTCTTTTAGGGGTAATAAAGCTCATATTTAGCTCACAAAAAGCTTGTGAACTCAATCTCTACTGAGACAAACTACGAAGCCCTTGTATGAGACAATTGACAGTGGAGTGCTGCAGTTCACTGCACTGCAAAGGCTACTTGGTGCTTGATTGGGGAGGAATCCTGCATGTCCAACAAAGCGGACCGTCCATTTTAGCATCCATTGATTGAATAAGGTTCAACAGCAGAGGTTACAATCGACACCAGCCAACCGGCTCTAGCGTAATATCCAATCACTAAAACTGACTATTCATTGGACTGTTATAGAATACCCAGTATGCAACAGAGCAAAAAGCGCAAACATTTTTTCCATGTTGCAAGCCATTCCAAGCATAGAAATGATTTTTTACTTGATTCGATATTAAAAGCTACTTTATGTATCAGCAAGCATAAGTACTTTTCATTCTACCCTCACAAATGTATGCTGTTCGCCTCAGTCAAAGAGGCGAACATATACCAATGTGATGTTTCTGCCCCGATTGTTCGAAATGACTCTGATATGTCTACCGATTTTCTTTGAATTAAGCTCACTTTCTATTTTAACGAGTTCAGCTTGGCTGGTACAAACGTCAAGTGGAGCCTAAGAGTGTCCGAGGCAAGCAACTTAAAAAAGCTATTAAAGTAAGTTTAAAACTGGAAGCAAGAAGCCTATCGTCATATCAGTGGACAACACTAAAGTTAAGAACAGGAAGTCAAGTTTCTTTAGCATGAAGGGTATTAGAAACAAAGCGTACCTTCAACATTTTGTTGACCACAAATAATAACCAATTGTACATGCCTGGCAAAACGATAACAGACAAACGGCACCTGAATTTTTAGGACTAAATTACTTTACGCAAACTGAAACCAGCACAAGCACAAGAAAGCACAATTCAAGAAAATGAAAACAATGTATCAATCGTGCAAAACTGGCTGTAAAAGTTTATTTACAGTAGTATGAGAAATGCAGTATGAGAGCACAGTGAACCTTGCTTAGCAGGTGGCATAGTGAAAGAGCAGGATATGTTGCAAGCTGGCAGAGTGACGGTGATGTCGCGGTACTGGCATACTATATCATTCCGCGTCAGTTTTGTAAGTGCAAAAAGATTGCTGATTCTAACAATATGATAGCAGCTACGTGAGCGAATAAGGCATTCATGAGTTCATGATGATGAAAACCTTTAACAAGTGACCGGCTAATCTGTCAATATACTGATATACATCAATTTCTTCCATCTATATTTGGTTGCACAGTTTCCCAATGTCCTAGTAAAAAAAACCCTAATTTCATTACCAAAGCTCAAATAGTAATGATAAAAAATGCCAGGCCTGCATGGAACATGCAGCACAGTCACAGCGAAAGCTGGAAGAGCGGTCTTTCAGAGCCTTTTCTAAACACTTTTCAAGTAACTTCTACAAACACACTTGCTGTGTATCCACTACGCCATTAATCATAATTTCTGGGTAGTAGGCCGGCATTCACTATGCCATCCTTTGTCATTCTTCGGAGAAGCGTGTTATCTGCTAAACACTTGCAAGAAATTTTGTGCCAATTGTTCACGCAGTGGCTAACAACGATGAATTATGCTTGAAGTGGCTATGCGCCTCAGTTAATAGGTGATCAAGAACAAGCTTTTGTAATCGGTCGGAGCATAGGACGACCCACTTGCACCGCTATTTGCATTGTGTGACAGCTGGTTATTCTTTCACTGTTCTAAAACGCTCTATTACTCATATTAATTTGATTCCTTTCCTGACATCAAGCCTGCCTAAGGCAGGTTTGTGAACAAGTCCCAAGCACCGGTGCGGCTCAGTGGCAGAAAACTGGGCTGGCAGGCAGTGGACCCAGGTTCAAACCCCACTGTGTCCTTGGCATTTTTATTTACAGAATTTTTTTTTCTTATTTCGTGCGGCGGCGGCAGACAACCACAGCACTGCGCGTGACCCGTGTTGTGATCTCATAACAGCTTTCACTGTAAAAAGGTATCAATAATTAGGTGTACAAAGACCATTAAATGCCAGTTATGGAAGGAAACTGAAATCATCCTGGCATGATACAGAGATAGACTACTTTTATTTACAAAGAACAGAGCTTAACTGTGATCACATTGATAATATTAGGATTGTCAGACATATATCTAGCACTATTTCAATATATATTTGTACAGATAAGCCAATATGATTAAACCGATGTGATCTAGTAGCCCAAGGCAGACAATGATCACCCGTTAATTAGAGCTAGGCAGTAAATCAGTATTCGTCAGAAAGTTCATGCTGGCAAGAGTAAACCAGGACGTGCCAGGTACAGGCAACCAATAAATAACACAAACATAATCTCATGGACAGCGTCATATCTTACAATAGGATCTTGAGCCTGCTGCTTTTTCCCATTGTTATAAAAAAAATTTAAAATACAGATCCTCAAGGAAAGTGTAACCTTTCTTTTTTTTTGGCAAAAGGTACTGTAATAGGTATATCAGCATTATTTCAAACTCAAACTATTTTAATGCGTTGTTTCTTTTCCACGCTTGTTTATATTTGTAACATAAGATTGATTCAGGCTTCCTAACACACAAGTGAAACTCGTCCACTGTTAGAAACAGGCCACAAAGCTACTGGATGTGATAGCTCCACATAAAAATGCATTGTACACGTTTCTTATGCTTAGCGGATTAATTCACACTAATGGGTTATATCAAACAATCACTTACAAGCTGGTTTTCCAATCATGGGCTCAATCATACAATGAGCTAAGTGTGCACAATTTTCAGTTGCACAAGAAGTAGAGAAGATGTGGAAGAAATCCATAACAAACAAGACTGCTCGTGTCGGGGCGAAATCTGGTTCTGACACCCTGAACGTGTTTTAGATGTATCGGGCGAAAATGATTTATCCATGCATTTTAATGTGCGGGAACGTTTTAGTGCACACGTGCTAGCCATGTTGCCTCAGGACCATGAATGTTGTTTTTTTGGGGAGTCAGGTGACGTAATGTAGCTGTACCGCACAATGAGCACACCTAACTCTTTTCTGTCATGATTACTTATTTTTATAAAATGCATGCCTTTAAAAAATGGTAAAACAAAAAAACAAATTTTGGTACGGTTTCACAAAAAAAAATATAATTTTATTTTTGATTATTATGTTCAAAGATAGCCCCTTATTTGTACACCCGAAATTTTTTACATATAAAACCAGAAAGCTACCAAGCCTAATTATGAGCAGTAAGCCCCTTCTTTTGGTCATTCACAGTTAATCCAAAACTAAGGCATAAAAACAGGGTAAAATTATCACCAACTCCCCAAAATTAAGCAAAGGAAGATACTGCCACACACAATTTCTTCAACATGCAGACTTTGTATTTATTATTTTGAGGGACTGCATAGCAGCCAAAGCTTCAGCTCTAGGATATGCACTCTCACACTATCTACAAGAGCGTGTTTATAAACACAGCAACTGTTTGCATAATGTGCTCTTTCTGCAATGCCAGTCACAATATGTAGAATTCCTTAGACCCTCGCAGCATGGCAGCCTCATTTGGATTCATGGCAGCCTACTTTTGTCATTTCTGTATTGGCAGGGAAAAGACCACAAGCATTGTGCTAATGGTAAACTAAGCATTCTTATTGCTCAAGTTACTTTATGTCACTTGTGGTTTTAGTATTTTGTGACAGACAATTACTTTTATAAAGCAATACCCTGTTTAGCGATACGTTGGACATGAGGACATGAACTTCAAAAAATATATATTTATTTTTTTATGTCTCTGGGAATGCTCGCTGCTATCAGTTAGCTATGACACACCATTTCATCGGCTAGTTGAACGCTGTTCATGAAGAAACTTACTGCAAGACTGACTGTACAACAATTACATAATTATTTACACTGTAACTACAATAAACTGCCAGAAAGCACTTCCACCTTCTTTAAATTTGGTCTACAGAACACAGGCATCAAGTTAAGCGAATAATTCACAAATTTACAAAGACAATCGATTATAATGCGTGTCACTAGAGGGTCACATATAATGATATCTTACAAATTTTCGATAATTCTTTCTTCGCGACAAGTCAGGCACCTGGGTTTAGGCAAGGACTTACTGCTGTATATATATATATATATATATATATATATATATATATATATATATATATATATATATATATATATATATATATATATATATATATATATATATATATATATATATATATATAGCCAGTCAAACACCCGCCAGTCCAAATAGACAGTCGCCAAAAGCGACACGCGATTGGTGGACTTCGCACAGCTGTACGAATCAGCTTGCGAAGAGCATACGAGCGACAGGCGCGGCGCGAATCGTGTGACAAGGTGGCGCGACTGTTACACGATTCTCCGCAGTCAAAACTAAAGTTGCACATAGACGAGGTCATTCGGAAAGGTCCGTCCAAAAGAGCGTTTACACACACACACACACACACACACACACCACGCACGCACACACACACACACACACACACACACACACACACACACACGCGCGCGCGCGCGCACGCACCACACACACACACGCACGCACACACACACAAAGAAAAACGTACTGACCTCACGGATTTGAAGACCATGTCCCGACTCGAGATGCTCTTCCACGTCCCGCTCAAAACTCGCGACAAATGTTGTATGCCTTGTCCCGCATATCTTCGGTGATGTAGGCTTCATCGGGCTCGCTGCACAGATAGATAGCGGAGAGTGGGTCAACAGGAGGAATTCGGAAGTCGCTTCGCTCAGCGCCCGAGCGCATGCACGTATTAGTGAAGGCGCCCGGTGAAATGCGGAGGCCGGGCAAACGACCGCTCAATAAACGAACAAAAACAGCGAAAGAAAGAAAAAATGATGCAGATCGAAAGGGTCGGAGGCCGCGGCGACACATGTCTCGCCTATCGTGCGCGTACTTGAACTTGAGGATTTCGAACACCCTTTTGACGGCCAAGATACCCCGGTAGAGCTCCGAGGTGACAGTCGGCGAGCCGTGGCCTTGCATTTCGACCGAGATCACACTGCGCACATAGAACCCGCTGGAGATGATCGATACGAGACGCGCCGGGGGCGGCGGGGGAGCGAATCGCCTATAAAGAGAGGCCGGCACCCTTACTAACTGCTTCGAGCACGGTCGTGCATCTCGCGTGAGCCGGGTGCAAAGGTCACAACATAAGCGTCCATTTCTCTCGCGCGTCCAATGTCTCTCGTATCGTCCCCCAGATCGCCTTGAGATGCAACTCGAAAAAGGCACAGCAGCAGCCGCAATGTCGGCGTCGTTTTCTTGCTTTCGCGTGCTGGCGATGTACCGTCGTTTTTTTTTTTTTTTCTTTCTTTCGCATGCCGACAATTGTTCCGCTTGGCAATTAGACGCACGAGCTACCGGCATGTCGCGCGTGCAACACCAGCAGGTCACGCCGGTGCGTCGACAAGCGCAGGCAAATGCTGCCAAGTAGAGCAAGCTGCCCGGACTCACGGCCCTCCCACCAAAAAGGCAAGGACGCGCACGCAAAACGAAACCCGCAGTTCAGGGTGCTTACCTGTCAGGATGGAAAGCGAGAAACGAAATCTCCTTGCCCATGTGCGTATACATTTTGTCGCTTTCAGCAAACGCGGAGTCACCAACGGTCCTCATAACACACAGCGAGTAACGGCCACGCTCACTACGGCAGCCCGCACACCACTGCGCCGACGACGAAAACGTCGACAAAATCAACACAGCCAACACGACAGGCGGAGGCCAGTCGCGACGCCGTCATCTCTGCGGTGACGTTGCGCTACGTCATAGATCACACTAGTACAACTTCGCTTTAGTACTAGGCAGAAAACTAAGACGTCACGTAAAGAAGTGGGAGCTGCGCCGCCGCCCTCTCGCGGAACAGACTCTGCGCTCCGGGGCTTTTCCCACTCCCAATGCTACGTGGCAAAGCCTGCAGCGCATTTCATCGACACTCGCAATTCGAGTTCGTTAGGCGTCTTTTTCCTGGTCGGCTGCTCTGTTTGCAGTTACGTAAAAACTTCAAAGCGTACGAATGTAAGAAACTACAATATTTGGAAAGGGAAAGAGCAAAACACACACACACACACAAACGATGTCACATTTTACTCTTTGGGTCAATACAGTAAATATAACGCTACGTTTATGAAGACCTGTAACAACGGCTGTAGAAAAAAAACCGAACCAGGCGACCATTTTCCAAATTAATTTCAGTTAGCACGGGATTTTAGCTGGTACAATGATTTCCTTGTATATTTTTGCCTTGAAATATGTGCGCGAAATATGACAATTATTGCCGTAGTTACATATTGGAAAAAAAAGAGGAAAATAATCCAGACAGAAGCACGGAGAGGGTGATTAAAGAGTTCGTAAAATCAATATGACATATGAGGAGAGTTTACACATGTTACGCAAACCCGCGTTGTAGCACGTGGCCAGTTGCGGAAATACCGTAGCACGCTACGCTTGTCGGCATATTAAATGTGTGGCCAAATGGAAAATTTACACCAGTTGTCATGCTATCCCAATGAAGTACCAGGTTTCAATCGGTTTTAGTGAATTCCATACGAAGCCAACTGGTGTGACCTACTGACATTTTTTTTTTTTTTTTTTTTTTTTTTTTTACTGTGTTGGATAACCAACTGGAGCAGAGCCAAATGAGAGAACGTTCCAAGTGGACATTTCAGACTAAATTCATGCCCTTTGGTTAATGGGTTGCACCAACCGGGATCAATCGAGACCATCTGGAATTCCTGATTTGTGTGAATATCTTTTTTTGTTTTTGCTGTTTACTGCGGGATTGCATTTATTACGTGGAATGCGGAAGAGGTTAAAGCTTTGTTTTGAATAAAAAAACAGCGTGTTGCCAGTGAAAGCAATCAAGTTGTCTTGTTTTTAATCATCAACGCGTCCTAACGATGAATTTTTTCTGTCCCATTATTAATTCCATTTTAACTAACGTAGGTTTGAATACAGGCGCACCCTTTAGAGAAGGATCATATGCTGCATGCTCATTGGAATAATATTAATTATCGCTCACAAACAGAGCATGGGCTATGAGAGGTGGTTGTCAGCTTGAGTGATCAGGGAAAACCGAGAATGTTGCCACATAATAGCGGACCAGTGGCTAGCATTTATCGTGGATTTCATCGCTAAACTATTTGAAGTTGTGAGCTTTGTACCCTTTTTACAGGGTGTTATCACAGGGATGTTGCCCCGCCACAGTGGTCTACTGGCTAAGGTACTCGGCTGCTGACCCGCAGGTCGCGGGATCAAATCCCGGCTGTGGCGGCTGCATTTCCGATGGAGGCGGAAATGTTGTAGGCCCGTGTACTCAGATTTGGGTGCACGTTAAAGAACCCCAGGTGGTCAAAATTTCCGGAGCCCTCCACTACGGCGTCTCTCATAATCAAATGGTGGTTTTGGGACGTTAAACCCCACAAATCAATCAATCAATCACAGGGATGTTGCGCGGTAAAACTAGTAAAACGTTGAACTGTACGCTGACAAGCTGTCATCTAGCCATGTTCGTAATTGAATATAACGGCATTGTTTTAATTCAATTTCGATATGAAGAACGATTTTCCCAGAGCATTTTTTCCACTTATTATGCCTCTGACGCGACTGTCTTGCAGAGGCGCGGAACATATGCACGGGGAAAGGTCTCCGCCCACTCTTAATTTTTAATCACTCGACTCTCGAGCTCTGCTGCTGAAATGTGGTGCCCGAGGCGTGTTTTACACCACGCGGTGAAAGGGGTGTTCTTTTTTTTCCCCTCATGTGGTGATTTCGTCAACAGATGAAATCCAAACAGCCATCGCATGAGTTTGTGTGTGTGCGCGTGTGTGTGTGTGTGTGTGTGTGTGTGTGTGTGTGTGTGTGTGTGTGTGTGTGTGTGTGTGTGTGTGTGTGTGTGTGTGTGTGTGTGTGTGTGTGTGTGTGTGTGTGTGTGTGTGTGCGTGCGCGCACGCACACAATACGTTATCAGTGGAATGCAACCGTCGTGACGCGATCTGAAAGCGGCCGGTATGTCAACTTTCTTAGTGTGAATTCGCGCTTCTGTGTGTGCACCACGTTTCGCAAGGAAAGACGCAGATCATGTGCCATGCGAGCCCTTTGCGAATTCCTGGGTGACACAAGGAAAAATTCCTGCTTAGTGAAGTAATAAGGTTAAATTCATGAATGTTTTGAATTACTAAGGAGATTTAATTACGTGTTAAGAAACATTTTATTACTCTCAACTTCTAGTTTTGTTTATTTTGCATTTATTTAGTTATTCTTGTATTTATTTTACCATGAGTAAAATTACGCTATTCTGTTTCTTTGAATGAATGAGTGAATGAACTTAAATTAGGTTTAGTCAGTCACTTTCCTTAATGAGGAGAAAAAAGGGATTATCCCCACCCCACTGTCCTTCGATGAGGATGGTGGTGCCTCAGGTGCGGGGGCGTAGGCAGAAATTTTGACACTCCTTGATCTGAAATTGGGTCGGGCAGGCAGGTCTAGTTAAGTTACGCTCAAAACGACACTGAATAGCACTTGCCTGTCTGACCGCACTTCAAAAAAAAAAAAAAAAAAAAAAACTTCAGTGGGAGGGGCGAGAACATTGGCAGGTTATGCCACTCACACCACTGCTTAGGTGACGGCTGAAAGTCCTTGGCAATTGGAACTATTTTTCCTTACTTCTTCCTTCATGTTTCATTGTTCACATTAACCGCCGGCTTCTTGTTCAAATACCGGCGGGATGTAATCAAAGCACGAGAAAGCCCGCAAGAAATGCCTGCTAATTCAACGCCGCGAACAAAGCCATCTGCGGTGTCGTCTGTGCTTGCTTCGTCTGTTTTCTCCTTGTGCAACCTAAGTTATGCCAGTATGGACAAATATAATCAACCCGACCATCTTTCAGTTATCCTGCAGCATTGCAAATTTATCTCTTATACGGCGCTTTCTTTGTTGAAGAAAATGGAGAGGAAAAAAAGCCCTCGCAGGCTCCTTCTTAAAACTTGTAACGTTTTGAATTTGTAAGTTCCTTTACTCTAAAATTGAATACTTTATAAGACCACTCAATGATTGGCCGATCCCCCAATGTGGGTATAAGCCACAAGTGAAGGGCAACACGAACAAGCACTCCCTTTTTTCATTCGCCTACGATGACTCCAAGATGAAAACCTGACTATTCTTCATCCTCTTCTTCGTTCTCCTTTTCTACATCTTCTTCTCGCTTTATTTATTGATCTTCCCCAACCGCCTGCGAAAGCTTTCTGCACCTCACGGGGTTCTGCGTTGCCTCCGTAAACGGACCACCTGTGACAAGCGATGCTTTCGTGCGATGACTTGATCACGTGAAGTCATAGTGGCGTAATGTTTACGTCATATTGTCACGACGTCAAAACAGAGGTCTTGCCGTAAAGACTGAGACACCAGAAGCAGGTCGATCTTTTTAATTAGAACGCGCAAGCGAGTTCTTCTTCTTCGTCCATTTCGTAGTCCTTCGTGGCACATGCACAACTGTCATCGTCTTTCTTGGGCAAGCACGTGACAATATTATGACGTCATCACGTGATGATTACTTCTGTACTCTTGCATCACTCATGTGGACGCCGCCGACGCCATCAGCGGTCAATTTTCGTGTTTGATCAGGCATCGATATGAGACCCCATCAAGCTTAATTATTAATAAACAGCGAACATCCTC